TTGTAAATTGCTGTGAAGGAAGGATTTGGGATGTGGAAACCCTTAACTCAATCAAATTCATCACATAGATGCCATGTAGATTGATTGGGCATCTAATAGATTGATAATTCAAATAAATATAATATAAACTGTATTTTTTAAAGAATAAAATAAGGTTTTACTCTAAATTTAATTAATGTGAATCATATATTCATATTCTATAATATGACAAAACATATTTCAATATATCTATTAATGATTAAGCTTTATAAACAGTAAAGAGATAAAATATATTTTTTAAAATTAATAAAAGAAAAGAGAGAAAAATTCTCCCACACCTTGGTTTCTCTAGCTAATTCTACTATATTCTACTACATTCACAGGGAGGGATTAGTATTGTGGTTGAGATGCTACTATTAAGATGGAGGTTTGTACATTAACATGAAGCTGCTACAAACCTCCTCCATGATATGTGTATGTTAATTAGGTCCATGATATGCTACGTGTCTGAACAAGAAAATACGTGATTACTGTACATGTTGACAGGACTGGGTTTTACCATAAATTCTAATACTAATAAATTTATCTCTATTTGCTCAGCACTTTATTCTATAACAAAAATATAATTTTTTATAAGAATATCATTTATCTTGTAATAATATGTAACCTATTAAATATATTGTGGTTAGTTGTTGATATAAAATATGTTGGTTTGACAATATAATGGTATCATTCCGAACTTTAGCTGCATATATACCAATTCTTACAACAAAGTTGAACAAATCCAACCCTCTTGATAATGTCACAAGGTTCATTTCTAAAGAGGATTTCATATTCAGAAGGGTTCGAATTAAGAATTAAGGGTGTTCACCAACCGTCTTATCCTGTTAACTTCCTATTAAATTGGTCTTATTTGAAGTAAATTATATTTTGAAATATTTACAAATAAAAACTATTAAGTCTTAAGATAATTTTTGTTTAACAAAAAATATATTAAAATAAACTTTAAAAATGATACTAACAATATCATATATTTTACTAATAAATAATTTTATTAGTAAAAATATTAATATATACTATCGCTACATCAAATTTTAATATAATATATTCATTTTTTGTCTAAATACTTAAAGTCTATATTAACAATTTTTTTTTGTTACACAAAGATTATGCTAACAAAAAACTATCATAATACTAAATATTTTTATTTGTTAATAAATAATTGTTATTTTGTAGTGACATGTTCGTAATTGTCTCAACCTGATTTAATATCTTATAATTTTTTAAAGTATATATATTAATAGTAAGAATTTTTTAATTTAAAAGGTGAATGAGTACCAAATCTCGGATGAGATAACTCATTTTTTTGGCAAAATTTTATTAAACTAATGATAAAATTTAACATCAGGACAAAAATAATATAAAAATATAAGTTAAAGAATTGATTTAAATAAAAAAAGTTTAAAAAATGAAATCAAAATTAACCATCAACTTAAATAAAAAAAATCCTAACCATTTTAAATATGTATAATAGAATATAATTTAATCAATTCATATTTCTTTAATATTATACTTAGTTATATAAATTTTAAAAATTTATATATTATGTTAAAAAAATCGAGTTGATATAATCTTATCAAAATTTCCAAATTCTAATTGTTGATATCACCACATGCCAAATTACTATAAAAACTGTTTCTCCTTTCCGAATTGAATTATGTGGTGAAATAAATTCAAGAAGAACCCAACTAACTATATATACTATGTAGTTCTGTATTATTATATTATAAGAAATTAACTTTTCAAATATTATTACAGTCAAACAATTTAACTAATTAACTTTTAACTTGCCTTGTTTAATATCGGTAGTTAGATGAGAATTCAAAGGCTACTTACTCTATTTTAGTAACATATTTTTATATAACTGATTTATCTTTGCCTTTTCTCATCACATGCCATCTTATTTTACATTTTTCTTTCTTTTTTTTTTTTCTATTTTTCTTTCAGTTGTAGAAAATATTATAAAATATGTAAGGCAAAGCAAATTTTCTCTAATTATATTAAGCTGCGCATTTACATATATATTTAAATTTATTTTTTATTTTAAGATGCATTTATAAATGCACAACTAAAATAAATTAAGTCAAAAAATTTAATAATTTTCATTCATTAGATTCTTTTTTAAAAGGTTATAACAATATTCGTCTTCTTTTGTTTCTCTCTTTCCAATAATAAAGTCTAGAAGAAAATGGTGACGCTGCTTCTTAGCCACAATATATGTTTCTGGGTAAGATACGGGGCAAAGTTGGTGGCCGCTGTAACATTATCTTTCTAAGCGTAGTCTAGTTTCCATCATCACAATTGATAGAGATTTCTAAATACATTATAGTAGCCAATAGGAGAGAAAGTAACATTTTGACAAATTTAGTAATTATGTATGCTCAAATTATTGTAATTTCATTTTATTTAAATAAAATCATAAAGACCTTGTTGACTTTATACTTTCAAATTTTTGTTTAAAGATTATAAATATTATATTTTAAACATGTTAAATTATGTATTATTTTTTATTAAACGTCAACATTTTATTAAAGATAATTTTATAATACAAAAGTATTTCAACTTATTACAACTTTAAAAAAAATTAATAATACATATTAAAAAGATTATTAATATAATTCAGATACAATTAATTTTTTCAATGACTCAACTGCAAGTTACTTTTAATAATAGTGTTTAATAAAATTAAATATTTCACTAATATTTAACTTGTTGTAGAAAATATTATTATGTTAAAATCAAATTGTTCATATCATATTATTACAACTCTTCTCAATTTTTTTTACGTTAAATTTTACACGTACTTAATTACACTTCATGCAAATTTTCATATATCATAAGTGATTTTATATTTTCATATATAAATTTTAGGTAGCGTATAAGTGGAACATGAATTAAATAAGTAATTTATCTTTGAAATTCTTCAAGTGGATGCTCATGAGTTCAACCAAGAATATATCATATCTGTTTTGTACGGAAGAAAACATAAGCATGTGAATTAGAGAGCAATAGGCATGGCTGATGCATTAGAAACTTAGAATAGTGTGTGTGTGTCTCTCCCGAAATGAAAAGTCTCTAATTCGGACTTGCCATTAACAGAAAGTACGTAGGTCATGCAGCAAGGAAATTACAAAATCACAAGCATCGACACGTAATGATCTTTGCAGCTTTCTGCGTTTTAATTGGCCTCGATATTCTCAAATGGAAAGTTTAACATCGTAAACAGATGAATATGCTCTCAAAAAGATAAAGTTGCACCAATAATGATCCAAACAGCACAAGTATGGTAATGATTTCTACGTGAAATCAAACCGGAAAGAGTGTTGCTACTTACACATTGCATCTCCACAATCTATAATTATCAGATTCACTACGGGTCTTGATATCCCCTCCCATTAGGTTAACCCAAACTTATGAATAGATCACCAATAATACTTTGACATTTTCCATCTTAAAATTGGATTTTTATTCAATTCATGGTTGGATCTATATTAAAATATATAATTTTAGTGTATTATAGACTGTCAAATTAATTAGAGTACAAATTATATATTAATTATTATGAAAATAAATATTTTTGATATAGTTGGATGGCACTTTAATTCTTAAATCTTTTTAAAAAATTACATTGTGGTGTATTTAAATTAAATTTTTATTTTATGTTTACGTCATCGTAGAAAAAGAAAAATACATTTTTTTAACGTACTTTTTATATGTTTTATATTATTGATTGATATAATTTTTAATTTTTTTTAAAATTTATTACTAGTATTCCTTCAAAGAAAAATATGAGAAGAGAGAGAGAGAGAGCACCACGCAAAGAAAGGGTTAAAATTTATCAGTTGGGCTTATGGAGCACAGTACGAGGCCCTAACACAACATTCTCAAACGCCACGATAATGAAAGAAAAAAAAAGGGGCGGTGCGCCACAAAAAATAATAATAATATGGCACTATAATTGTTTTCTAATGTTTATATTAGTTTATTAATATTTTGATAAAATTATAATTTTACGAATTGTTTAAAATAATGAAAATTGATCTTTTTTGTTATGGTTAAATTATCCACAAAGCGCATGAGTTTAAATTTAATTGGTATAATTTTAAAAATAAATGACCAATGAAAATATCGAATCATAAAAAGTAATTATCTTACAAGAAGATTTTGAAATTTGACAGTAATCTACCTGTGTAGAAATAGAATTTAGAGATTTTATAATTGGTTCAAACAAAACCGAAGGGTGCGAAAATGTGATGAAGATCCCTTCGTTAGATAAAAAGGTTTATATTTCAAAATGAAGCTACACGTGTGCTTCTGTGGAGCGACAAAGTAGAGACATAGCAAAACGTGTCAATTCGTTGCGCAAATTGTTAATGTAAGACATGGCATGGATATGCGTGGTTGTTTTGTTGCACTTGCAACATTTTGCCTTCGATTTGGCTTAAGAGGGACACGGGTTATCTTGTCTCAATAACACTTTCAATAGGTCCGTTAGTTGTTTCTTTTTCTGATTTGTTTTGCTTCATGGATTCCATTTTTATGTGATGGTTGATTCTTTGATCTTGTTTTTCAGTTACGTTAATTGAATCACATTTCTTACACTGAAAGCGTGAATTCAATTTTGTTAATTTGTATTATCATAGATTATGTATGTAAAATTTTCCTTTTGTATAATGTTGTCGAATAACAAGATGCTAGATAGTATTGGCACAGATTGAAGTGCACCATGGTATTGATGAATGAGATTCGTCAAGTGTTTTGTCAGGAATTTGAGTACCGTGTTTGATGGCATTGACTTAATTCTAATATACATGAACTATGAAGCTATAGCTGAATGAAAAATGCAGATAATTAACCTTTGAATGGTTGTTAATAAAGAACTTGAACCTTACTACTAATAGATGTCTTGTATTAATGAATGTTGCTTCATTTAATGCTGCATCTTGCATGCTTTGGTGATCATGATCAATAACACCAATGGAACAAGCTGTGATGCATGCCCATTGACCTGTAAAAATTTTGAAGTGGTTGGAAGCAAAAATGTTCGAGGAATGGCATCAAATCATATTTCAAACTTTGGGGGAATGTACAAAAATCTTCGTCCACCGGTTCTCGTAATCGCGGGTTGTTCTGTGTTTGTAGCTCTAGTGCTCTCCATTGTTCTCATTCTGCAACATCTTCGATCATATACCAATCCTGCAGTGAGTTATTTTTCTTATAGCTAATCTTTGCCTTTTATATGCAGCCGTGAGTAAGTTCTATGGTGCTTGCTCATTGAAATTTTATTCAATGAAGTTATGTTTCAAAATGTATTTACTTATAGTCATGAATTTTTCAAGACCGGAAAATGTAGTGCCTTCAATTATCGATGTTTTATGGTTTCACATATTCAAGTTGCAACCTTTTAGCTTCACTTGAATCTTTAAGGAGTTAGGACTGACTTTGGCTGACCCAAAATTTGTTTGTTTGCAGGAACAGAAGTGGATTGTTGCTATTATTTCTATGGTCCCAATCTATGCTACCGAGTCTGTGAGGATCTATTACTCTGAAACATATTCTTGATTTCTCTTTGGCATCATTGAGTTAGTGATTGGAAGGAACAACTCCATTTAGTCTTGAATTGTTGTAAGGTTGCATTAGGATACAACCAATTGATGATAGGCTTGTCCAGTTGTCCTTGAGGTTCGTTTTTGGGTATTATGATAAGGGGATCAAGTGTGTGAATAGCATTTTGAAGTAATTAGTAGCTGCTTGCCCAAGGTTCAAACCTAAGGAATGCACCTCCTTTACCACTAGGCCACCCCTCTTTTTTTTTAGTTTTATGTATTCTTTAGTAAGAGAAACTGAAATTCATACAGTAGCTGATCATGGAGAAACCCATGCCTATGTTGAAAACTTGAAATTAAGAATTGAAGACAGTGGGAAGGATATAAATTAAAATGCTATCCTCTTATCATTTGACTTACAGTAATGGGTCATATCATATAGAAACAAATATCAAGTCCAAGTTCCTTTTTTGCATGAATTAATCCAAATAAAATAAAGCTTCATTATTCTTCAATAATTATGAAATTTCTTCACTTCAAAAAAGGAGGGGTTAATTATAGGAAACCGTCTACATTGCAAACTTTCATGCTCATGTTTTGTTTCTATGCCTCTAAAGCTATGAAATTACAACTTAAATCATACTGGTGAATGTTCTCATCTACTCCATTCCTAATGCTCCTTTCAATCCAAGTTACATCTCCTTCATTTAATGAATCGGAAAGCAGGATATTTCATGCTGATATCTTGATCAAATATCTACATCTGAAGAGTTATAGAGTAGTGACATGACATCAGCGATAACTCAGAGCATTTGTTTTCTGTCCTCCTGTTGTTCCAGATTATTTCTTTGTGGTATCCAAGATTATCTCTAGCATGCGACATTTTAAGAAACTATTATGAAGCCTTTGCCCTGTATTCTTTTGGCAGATACCTGATTGCTTGTCTTGGTAAGTTACTTGCAGTAACTTCAATGTCTTAAGAACATAGCTAGCAATGCTTTAATATCATGCATCTACTCTTCCTTTCAGTTAAATTAGGCTATTTGAGAAAATCCTGAGGTAAAAATAAAAGATGTTATATATGCAACTGCAAGGTGATAATGAAGTCGTGGTCTTGTGATGGTAAAAAAGGTTTCTTGAAACACTTTTGATTTGCAAGTCTAAGGCTTAAAAATTTGATGTTATGCTGACTTCTATGCAATCCTATCACCTGAATCCCCATCATCATTAAAAAGTTGTTAGTGTATAAATCAGTGTAACTTCAGCCGCCTAATATGTTAAATTTCTAAAGCATCTTTTGGCTAATATTTTCTTTCATTTTGTTGGACATGTAATACTGTTTTAGAGAACACATAGTTAGAAACGAAGAATATAAATGAGACAAGAAAGATTTTATTGATTTGAATGAAAAGAACAGATAATAGGAGAGATCTCTCCTCCAAAGTTTTCCCTTCACACAGGATTTCTTCTTTCACAGAGAGATAATGCTCAAATTACAAATGATAACAGATCTAAATCCCTTTCCCATAACTAACTAACTACAGTAGCTATCCTAACTAACTTTTCCTTCCCTCTCTCCTAACTCCTAACACATCATAATGCTTAATGTCAAAACTATGAAATATTTCACTTTATTCTTCAAATGCTAACTGCTAGGTGGTGAAGGAAGGGTTGTAGAACTACTTGAAGATGAGTCTGGAGAACACCTTAGAAAATCCTTATTGGATGGTTTAGATGAGAATCATGGCACAGAACAGAGATCGTTTGGAAACTTCTTTTGGCGTCCATGCAAGCTTGGAAAAGATCTTCTTACAATAGAAAAATTTGGTCTAGTCCAATATGTAAGCCGCTGAAGTTTTCCTTCATATTGGTTCATTTTATTTCTAAATTGACCCTTATGTCACTAAGATATAGTGCAGATGATCCTGAAGACTGTTTGTGCATTGCTAGCATTTATATTGGAACTATTTGGTGTTTATGGTGATGGGGAATTCAGGTGGTATTACGGGTATGCTTCTCATACAAAGGTGGAATCCAAAATCTGGTTTATCATAGTGTCTCCCACCATAAACTGATATCTTTCAATATGTTTCAACCATACATTTTTCTTTTCTATTAATTATACACATTGATTAATATTAGGCAATTGCATCTTAAACTTTGTTCAATAGTAATCATGGTCCTCAACATTTTGCAGGTATCCATATATAGCAGTAGTATTGAGTTTCAGCCAGATGTGGGCATTATACTGCCTTGTTCAGTTCTATAATGTTACTCATGAGAGACTTAAACCAATAAAGCCACTATCAAAGTTCATCAGCTTCAAGGCTATTGTGTTTGCTACTTGGTGGCAAGGTGTAGGAATCGTAATATTGTGTACCTATGGAGTGCTACCCAAGGAGGGGAAATTCCAAACTGGACTGCAGGATTTCTTAATTTGCATAGAGGTATTATCCTTACCCCCTTTTACACTCTAAGCTATAATAGTATAAACATTTTAAGAAGCCAATTGAGATTGATAATTTCTATGCTATAGTCTTGAATTGATCCGTTTTATCTGCCTCTGACTTTTCAAGCTTTATCTCCACTTTCTGTGTGCAATCCTGACAGAATGGGATCTGAGTGAATGCAAGATAGTGGTTGATTCTTTTCAATATATTTTATTTGGATGGATTAAATGAGACAGCTTCCTTTTGTGGAAAAAAGTTCAATTTTTAGTGATTGCAGACTGTATTGGATCTGAGTGAATGAAACATAGTAGTTGATTCTTTTTAATATATTTATCTTGGATGTATTAAATGAGACACCTTCCTTTTGTGGGAAAAGTGATTTAGTCATAAATTTTGTGTGCTTATGCACAAACCCCCATTATGTGCTTTATATTCTCAAAAAGTGGCTTTCGATTGATAATCCTCTTTTTGGTACCCATAGCAAACAAATTGAAAGAACTTCATAATGTGGAGTCTTGGATGTTTATAAAAAATGGGCCAATGAAAAATGACATATTAAGATCTGTAGTTCCTTTCATTTTAAGATTTAAGCCTGATGATGATAAAGTTCTTGAGTTCTATTGTACAAAAGTGGTATTTGAATTCTCTGAACCATTGCAACCAATTTTTTCTTTTTCTTTTTACAGAAAACAGTCCTAGTTCATAAATGAACACTGCCTAAATAATTTCTATTCCATTTCAATTTTCATCCAAGACTACTAAATCTAGTGTCCATGGTAATGCAGATGGCCATTGCAGCTGTTGCTCATGTCTTCGTTTTTTCTGCAAAACCATATCATTTTCTTCCTGCTTCTTCAGCATATGGAAAAGTTTCAAAGGAAACAATAGAAGCAGCATTGGAGATAGATGAAGGGGACAAACAAAAACCAGCTTTACTCAAAGAGACAACTACTCAAGTTGAGGCTCCTAGAACAAGCATCACTGAGAGCGTCCAGGATATGGTTGTTGAAGGCGGTCAACGAGTAAGTTCAATGCATAACGAAATAGCGATTACATAAATTGTATCAATTATCATTGTTAACCCCATGCCATCCCTCTCGGAAATATTAATTTTTATATCAATAAAAAGCAGGTTGTCAAGGATGTTGTACTGACAATAAATCAAGCCATAGGACCTGTGGAAAAGGGAGTGACGAGAATTCAGCAGACCCTCCATCACAAAACCGAAGTTTCATCAGATAATGAGCAAGAAGAATCAGATATACAAGTTGAGAAAGATGTCACAGAAAATCTAACAGGTAAAGGGAACGAAATTGCAAGGGTGTAATTATTAGGATGGAAATCAAATTTGAAGAGACTATATGGGCAATGCTGGCCTGTTTTATCTGGGAAATTTCGTACAAATGTTGATGCAGCTTTAAAAGCCTACCTGTCTGACCAGTGCTAGGACTTGCTAGAATAGATTGTATAAATATCATTTCTCGGGTACTAACCAAAGGGATAAAATCACAATAGATTTCCTTTATATTTTTTCTTTTAATTTTTAAACAGAAAACATCCATTGAGACTGTGTTTCTGATCTTCATGTAAAATCATATGCAGAGGGAGTTAACTGCAAAACGATGGAGCGAAGGTATGTGTGACAGAAAGTTGTTTCTTTTGTGAAAGTAACACGTTGAAAAATTGACTTTCTAATGCAAATTTAAACGTGCCGCGGACTATACTCGTGTAAAATATATACCACACAACTCTGACAAGAAAAGGAACTACTAAACACAGATGACTTAAGTATATACATCTCCAAAATAAATACCCCACAAACAGTAATGTCTATGTAGTATCCACCAATCATACAACCATATTTTGAGGTTTCAGCTTTCAGTTCCATAACAACACAATTCGGAGCAACAGTTGAGGCAGCTGAAGCATCCTAAACCAACGCAAAGCTGAGAAAATGCAATTGCACATTGGTTGTTTATACGGGTACAGACATGGATGCAGCACATGCAACAGCATTCATTGCAAAATTTGCCACAACAATTTGTGGCGGCCTTAATAAAGATTTCAGCCCCATCAGGCAATTTTGTGACTTCAGATCCTGGTGAAGTGTTTTCTGCAGTTGCAGTCAAGTCGCCAAATCCTATACCCAAGTGTGGCAGCAAAATCATTCTCTGGCCTTGGACAGTTGCCCCACTCCGAGGATCGCTCTTTTTTGATACCTTTTTGACATGATTGAAATGATCAAAAGAAAAAGTATTAGTAAGAGTCTATCTTTTTAGAAAAAATGTGTAAAACTACAAAAAAGAATTTAATTATGAGCATTTCATCAAAACAGACAAACCAACCGGCTAAACTTGGGTATTTCTGTCATTTTACCATACATTTAATGCAGAAATGACAAAAAAAAAAAGGTTTACATATAAATAATATTTAGTGTATTGGGAGAAAGAACCTCCAAACTTCTGATACGTACCTTCTTTCCATCTGATTCCTTGTCCTTCTTTATCTTTAGATGATCATTCTCAAGAATTGTCATACGCGTATACTCGGACATAAAGCCAGTTTGTAAGCTTAGTTTTGCAACCTTTTGTTCTAGTTCTTCATCTTTTAAAAGCCATGATAGAGCAGTAAGATGCTCTATTTGATCTCTTGCGCAAATCTGTTGAAGAAAAAGCAGTGGAATAGAATAACAATTAACAATAAAGGAAATGAAACATAATAACAAAAAACTGTGTATAAATACTACGACAAGTGCAACTGCAAGAATAAGATGAAGCAACGAGTACTTTTGGCATATGCACACATAGGAGAGATAAAGAAGGCTGATTAACCATGTATCTTCATAAAAATTATATGGATAGGATAAAGAAAAGAAATATGATTAGTTTGTCCATATCCCAATTCAATAGAACAACAGTAAAACGCGTCACAACCGTTACCCTCTGCTTTATGAAATAACAGACCCTTCAAAGTTCAAGGAGGATCGCAGAGTACCAAATAGATTCCTAGCACTCAAAATGAATTTGGAACATCCTCTCTAGCAATTTTAGATTTAAGTTTAAGAAAATAAAGAAACTTCGAAATGTAAATATGCCAGGTAGTGCAGAGAACATTACCCTTTGGACAGGTATGTCCTTAGCCTCTTGAATCTTCATATCTATCACAAAATTACTGAAATCAGCCAAGACACCTTTAATTTCAAGAGCTTTGGGAAAATTTCCTTTGTATCTTCCAGATAAAATCATTAGACCATCTGAGCAAAGATCTGGAATATGAGAGGGGTACACCTATTATAAGACATTGCAAATAATGCCATTAGAGTGAAATAGATGAATCAAATGAGCCAGACCCTGCTAGATATGTCCAGTAAGTTAACAGAAATGTAAAGCTGGTAGATTTAGTTAACTAGTTAGCCTGATATACATAGAGCAGTGTAACGGAGTGAGGAAGTTATTCCGTTAGTTTTTGGCGGGAGAGTTGGAGAAGATTACTCAATAAAACTGTGTCTTTCTGTTATTCCCTAATTTCCAGTTCAGTGCTATCATACAGATACCAGTATTTTGAGCCGGGGCTATGGTAGAAGAGCAAAAGCAAAAGGATAATAATCAAGAAAGACAAAGTTTTAGATTAATACATGTCGGGTATCTTAAACACGGTAGTTTATAGGTGACACATTTTTCTTCTCTATCTAGCAAAAGCACCAGTAAAATGTTTACCTCAACTTCATCCAGTTCATCGAATATGTCCATTGTGATATTTGAAAAAACAAGAGATGAAGCTTTGTCAAACAATTTCAGCATCTGATGCTCAATCAAATCTGGCAATAAATAATTCAAATAGGTCATGGTGTCATTAAAGAAACTTCTTGTGGCGAACACCAGAAGTACTTTGTAAAAGGGTGACAAAAATGGTAGATCATAGCCCCACCTACTCATAAGTGGCCAATCAGCAATTTTTCTCTACTTCTGTTTCAAATGTTTATGATCTTTCGTAATTAAACTAGAGAAAGAAAAGAAATCATGTCTTCATAAGAAGAGCGCATCTTTTGTAATTAAACTGGAGAAAGAAAAGAAATCATATCTTCAAAAGAAGAGCGCTTTTAGATAAACGTTGTGAAACTTATAAGTAAAACCAGTGTAGGAACTCTTGTTTAAATACAAATGCATATTATTTGTGGCTTAGTCGACATAATCAGGTGCTCCAAATATAATATGCTGCCGACCTTAAATAATTTAATTTCTTGTTAGGCATATGCTCAATGACATGGTTTGAAGAGAAAATTTTCTCTAGAATCCATTATGGCCACTGAGCTTATAAAAAAAGAAAGATAAACAATGATAATGATATTTACGTTTGGAAGTTAAAATTCAGAACTTGCCTACATCCAATGCTGCAACATGTTGGCCCCTACCGATCATGGCAAGCATACGCAAGAAATAATGATTGCAGAATGAACCTAAAATTGGATGAGATTTACCATTTAACGTAAGGATATAGACTACAAGCAAACTTCAACAATTAAAGTAAGTACAAGAATCTTAAAATTTTATTTGGAGAAGAATGTAACAACGTTCAAATACCAATCCAGGCTTGAAATACAAGAAAGTAGAAATCATACCTATGCCTAAAGTGTAAAGGCGGGGGGATATTGACTCTCCATTGATCATATGTTTCTTCATCGCTTCACATATTTGTCTCTCATCTTCGACAGTTCCATCTGTAACTAGGAAAATAATTGGAACTGAATTTCGAGAATCGGACAGCATCTTTATTGCCTGAAAGAACAGACAAAGTAAATGTACAATACATCTCTATCGAACGACAGCGAACACAGAAGAACTATGATGACCATCAACCATACATAAAAGCTAGTCTTAGGGCACATAAAGATGAGATAAAACAGGTTCTACATGCATCAAGTTGAGCACATATAGATTTCTTTGTTCTGTTGTCAGTACACTTTTTTTCGTTCTAGACCTTAGATATCATCCGTTGAAAGCAATTTTATTTGGACCGGGTAGAATTATTGTGGTCAATACATACTTTGCTTCAGAAATTTTCATTTCCAAGGAAAAAGATTAGAACCGAAGTTTTATTTATTTATTTATAACCAAGAAGACACTAAATAATGGCTTTAAATATTTAATTTAACAAATAATATCTCGAAAAGAAACATAAAATTCCCCCCAAGAAAAAGAAAACTCCGTACAAATATTTAAAAATTACCGTGTTCAAGGGATGCAAAATATTTGTATCACCCCCTGCAATAAAATTTATGTTAATCCACTCAATGGCCCTTTCAACAGCATCCTTTGAAGCCAATTCCATTGAGTTTGAAAATTGATATATCTCTCCATTAAATGCTATAATACTAAATGAATCATCTGGATCGAGCTTAGAGAGAGCAATAGACAGTGCATTCTTTGTGTCATCAATTAGTTTTCCCCGCATGCTTCCACTAATATCAATAACAAATATGATGTCCTTTCTGAACACCTAGACATTGAGTAGAACCCAGCAATGTGAACAAAAAGACAATTCAAAAATTATATAAAATGAACACCTAAAAAGTTTACTAATACTTTACCAACCTTCCTACTCTGAAGATTTCCAGGAGAAAGGTACATAGAGAACATATCTCTCTGATCAAAATCATCCACAGATGCAGATTCCAACAGAACACCACCACTTATATGACTTGAAAAATCCTGTATTCATATAACATTCCTTGCTTTCAACAGCTGAAACTACAAATAAGCATGAGATTATAAGTTTCCTTGAGTCTTACAGGCACAGCATATGAGAAGCTGAAATCAAGTTGTGACCACGAGAGAACTTCAGACTCGTACACGAAACCCATACTTCCGGCATTACGCCTCACTTGCTGTACAGTCAGTGAATAGAACCACGTCAAATGGTTAATTGGTTATCCATAAAATGCAAACTTTAAATCCCACAAGAATTGAACCAAATATGAACCTTCAGGGGATGACTACTTGTCTTGGATAGAAGCTCACTTCCAGTAATAGTATCCCCGTTTACTTGTATCTTTTCTTTCTTTGACATTTTCTTCCCAACAGGGTTGACAAAATCAGGAAAGGTAAATGGCACATTCAAGGAGAACTCATCATTGCAGTATAGTATCTTCTGGGACCATCTAATTTTAACAGATAAATTGGAACCACCATGGATCTGTTTAAAGCAGGACAACAAGCAACATCAGAACCAGATCACCGAACCATAAAGACCATGAAATTAACAACCTTTAGAATGCACAGACAATATATATCTACCTGTGATATATTAAAAGTAAACACATTGGGCTTGAGAAAACCTCCATCTTGAGCTTGGATCATATTCACCTTACCATTGTTGTCTTTCATATCAACCAGTTGAGTAGTATAAGATTTCCTATGAACACCAATCTCCACACCTAGAATTGAACCCTGTTAGCCAAATGGTATCAGAACACAAAATCTGCAACTCTTTAAAACATTATTCAAATGCAACAAGTTTGGGAGTCACTATGGCAACCCTGTATATAGGCCAGTTGTCAAAACATTTATTCATGACTAAATCTTCACTAAATTTTTTTAAAAATTTATTGCATATACACGACCAATCGGTAATGGATTTGGAATGTTAGATATTCTGGCCTAGACTTTAATCCAATGTCTGCAACTGTAAAGTGTGTGTTCGGGCCAAGTTTACTTCATTTGAGTGATCATGATTTTAAAATAATAATTTTGGTTAAAATCAAGTTTGAAGTAAAAGTTGTTTATATTTGGAATTTTCTGTTTCAAAGCAATTTTGTAACGAAATTTATGACATGTTTAGATTGAGGTTAAATTCACTATATCCATTCTAATATTATAAGTAATAAATTTTTACGTTAAAATATTATTTAACATGATTATCAAGAATTCCCGAACAACATACTTAGTAAAAAACTCTCAACCGAAAACAAAAGTTACAATTTTTTTACCTTTTAGTTAAAGGTTCTTTTAGGGACAATCACATTAAGTTGAAAACAACCAAAGATAATTTTTGTTTGAAACAAAATCACGTTAATATGCTGAGGATTTGCGTTTGACATAATTAGATGCAAATCCAAACATTTTGCAAAGTCAATTATAAATTGTCACATTGTTATTGTAAAAGTAAATATAATCGTGGGAACTATATCATAAAAAATTGTGGGAACCACCTTTTCGACCTTCAGCTGCTGTTGAACTGTATGAAATTCAAACCCATATTCAATAAGCTCAAGACACTTGTTTTTATGTGTCCCTTTCAAGACACATATTTTCGAAATTGGTGGCTAAATAGTTTGTCTGTCAATTTTTTCTACTTGTATACAAAATTATTTTATCATTTATGTTTTATTATTAATATTTAATATTTTAAGTTAATCTATTGCTTAATAATATATATATATATATATATATATATTATTTATTACTTAATTTAATAATAGTTTTTACGGACTAGATATCCAATTTGGTTTTTAAATAACGGTTTTGTCAAATATGTTTAAGGAAACATGATAAAAAATTAAAAAATAATAAGAAAACAGTGGATTTTCAAGTTTAAATATTATTTTGCTACTTATATATGATTTGGTCCTTATACAACCAAATTGTAAATAAATCCTTATATAAAAAATTGTCTTCAAAATATTTCTATTATTAACGAATGTGTAATGGCATGATATCGTATTTAAATAATTTAAAGTTTTATCCTTATTTATAATGCATTTTTTCATTATATGCACCTTATTTATTTATTTTTTTTGTGTGTGTTTTTCTTCAATTAAAATTGGCTTAATATAATCCTTTAATAGTAATTTTTGCTATGTTAGTTATTAAACTAAAATTTTAATTTTAACTAAAAACTAATTCTTAAAGGACTGAATTTAAGTTTTATGCATAAAATAAGAAATTTATTATGATTGTGCTTTGAAGTATAAAGTATGAGCATATTTAAATAACTTTAGCATTTGAAAAATTAGTTCATATTGTCTTATTATTATAAAGGATATAACAAATAAAAAAATTACTTAAATCTCAAACATAATAATTTTTATAATAATATTATTTAATTTATTAAATTATTTTTATAATTTATTATAAATTATCATAACAATTTTGTAATGTATGTTTAATGATAATTTCTTAAAATTTTAGTTCCTCGATGAAACACACATTTTTTAAGTTTTAACCCTTATAATTAATTTTTTATACAAGTAAAATAAAAATTATATTACGTACGAGCACCAAATATCTAAAACTAAAGTAGTATTTAAACCAAAGTTCTATAAAGAACAAATCACCTGAGGGCCCATGGGAACGGCGACGAGGCAATCGCAGCTGCGGCTGCCGGAGACGCAGTGTAGCCTCCATGAGCCAGCGACGGTGACGAACGCAGTGTCGAGGTAGCAATCGACTCCAAGGTCAACACCAATCATGTGGAGGGGAATGAGCGCAGGAGGGTCACACTTACCATGCACATAGGGCTGATAGCTTGGAACATCAGGGTTGTCGACGATGCCAGGGTCACCAATAACGGCGTAGAGCATGGGAGCGCGTGGAAGGTACGCGGTGTGGGACTTGACCATGCTTGGTGGAGGCTTGGGGGGCGACACCGCCCTGTCATTGCCGAAGTATATGCGCTTCGAGAGTCTGAGTCCCTCCTCCACCGCCTTCGAAAATTCCTCTGCCATCACCGGTTTCCGGTTTTGCAATGCTGAGAGAAGAAAAGGTTTAGGAGGTGGGCGAGGAGGGACACATGGTTCGTTACCGTTTTCAAATTTCCACCCAGCAACGCAATGCAATTCCCAACCTTAACTCCTCGTCGACAAAAATAGTTACTTCTATAATAAGGGACGTCGTCGCATTGCTTTCACCATGCCTATTGTCCATGGTCCATGCCTCTTTTTCGTTATTTATCAATCTTTTTTATAAAATGTTGAAATTTGTTAAGCTTAGAATCGAGTTTATTTAATTATTAATCATAAAATGTTTGAGGCTCAGGTGGAATTATCCGTCCTATTTTTGGCGTCGACCTATCATGCAACTGTCATTATCTGGACATTAACTTCCCACTCGTTCGGGTTGGCCTTCGCTCTCCTACAATGGTTGATTGTTCCTTCGCTGTCACATAGTTTTCATCTTCGAAAAAAATGTTGAAAGATCACTTTTACAGATTATTTCTCTTTCCCTCTTCCATTTTAGATTATTGTGTACCGTTTTTAATTGAAATTAAATATTAAAAGTGACGGAACCAAAATTATTTAAATATGATGTTTTAGAATATTTAAATTCGACATATTACATTTAATTTGTTTAATTAAAAATTTTGAATAAATTAAAAGCACCTATGAATTTAGTAGGATGTTAACTCGCTGTAAATTCTCGTTAATAATTGGACAGCAGACTAGCAAAGAACTTTTTTTTTCTTAATTAAAATTTTTGATAATTTTTATTGTTGCAAATCATGCATCAGTTCTACATTAGAGGGATAAAAATACAACTTAGAACATTCGACAAATATAAAGACCCAGTGTTGTTCCTTCCTCATAGCTTCGAAGACACGATACATTGAACTTGAAATGATCGATTACTGAAAAGTGCTAGCAACACAAACTTTAGGTTATAAAATGTTTTGAGTATATGCTACGGGAATGAATACTCAAACGAAAACCACATTGTAGACTTTCCTTCAAAATTCCTTTACTCAACTCCCAAGCTCTCCAGTCCAGAAGGACGAAAATTGGTATTTTTTCGTCCTAACGTCTAACTACAGCTGATAGCCGAGAAGAACTAGGTTGCAGTGACTATCTTCAAATGCTCCAATACTTCAGCTTTTTCTACAAACCCTTTCTCTTTCCGTGAGGATGCAACCAGCCATGTAAGAGGTAAAAATTATATATTTAACCAAGGCTGTATAGAAAACCCCACATTTGATTTGGACGACCGAAGAAATTTAAGAGGGAATGTCATATTAAAGATCAGCTCATGAGTTCCAACCCTGTTAAGGATCTTGTATCCCCACGATTGCATCCTCTAAGCCATTGGATAGGAAGTGTGAGTGACTTTTGATTAGCCAATAAATGTCTGTAACACCTTTTCAGGCCACCCAAAGATAGTGTGTAAACTATATTTGGGCAAACATTATTTCATTCCATGTATCAGGAATGCCAGGCAAACACCAATGTAAGCAATCCTGCACACCAGGCTTGGCTGTAATGCTAAAACGTGATATATGACCCTCATCCCTAAGCTGAGAGAGAGCCGTTATGTCCAAGAGCTTGACCCCTGTTCCCTTCACTGCATTTGCAACAACGTTATCCATCGATTCTTCATCCAATATTTCCTTACCTACCGACATTGGTGTCGTGTTATTACAGCTGCCTCCCGTGTTCCAGTCCCCACCAGCAAAATGCCTTGGGGAGGTGGTCCGAAAGAATACCTTCAGACCCGGATAGACTGGAAGCTGCGAGTTCACCCAACTAACCACACTGTGAACAGTGAGATTCTTGGCACCCCAAACCACTGCAATCTTCTTATCAGTATTTAGCACACCTCCAACATGCATTACCCACCTATTAGCCCTGAGCTTTCCCCGATTCCAATGGTGGCCTGTGTTGAGAACCAGCACATCAAACTTGTGAAGGAATTGGCGCAAGAATGCTGGCTGCCGGTCAAGATGCATTGCATACTCTGTCCCTGGATCACTAGCATTGATAGGTTTGATATCACATAGAATTGCTGACCAGTAGTATAGAATGGTAGTATTGGTGCTCATGAAATGGTAAGCCCACCCATCAGGGCGGGCAGCACCCTCAGCTACAACCAAACCATACTCATTCCCCACATCTTCCACATCATTTGTCTCCTCACCACCAGTGATCATGCACATTAAAGATTGAAACTGCTGCCGGCCCAATGAGTCTCCAACAAAGGCTAGAGTTCTGTGTTGCATCCTGAGTGCACCAGATAATTATCATTTTGTCATAAATCTATAGGCTTCTTTTCAGTTGAATCCAAAATTTAGGCTAATTAAGAGTGCAAATATATATGAATCCATGATGTGAGTTAATTTGGAGCAACTTGTTCTTTCATCAAAGGACATTAACATAGTGTAAGACGCGTCTTACAAAGCAGTAATCATATGACCAGAAATAATAATAATATGACTAGCATGCTAACACAAGGCCTCTATCACAATTGGCTTATTCCAAGCATATTAAGGAGCATCCAGTGCCTCAATTCGCACTTTTAAGTATCAAGTCATTAAAATGAAGCTTAAATTAATTATACAAGAGTCCAATCTGTAAATATTAGTGAGGGTGCAATACCTTTGCAAAAATTTAAATCCTTCAAATTCCTCCATTTGACAATCTTTTGGTTTCCATTGAAACCCCTCATATGCAAAATCAGTGCGTTGTGTCAAGCGGCAAGCCCACATCCCTGACAACCATTGCTTGCAACCTAATCCTGAATACAAAGGCCGGTGGCTGTCTGGAACCCATTTTCCTTTTGCATAGTTACAGACTGGAAAAAATCACAGAAACACTTTAAAAGGAAGTTCATCAACCATCATCAAGAAAACAAGTTGCATGTGTCAATTTCCCTTCAAATTATTAGAAAGAGAGTAAGCTTTGAATATTATTCTACAAAATCTGGGAACATCTTGAAAATTCCATGAATTTGGCAGTCAGTATGATATATTATATATTCATTTGATAAGAAAAAATTCTGATACCTTTGTTTTCTGTATCATTTTTAAAATGGATGTCATCTTTTCCAGTGATTAAAGAGCTCCCTTGTGAAGAGTCCACAGCAAGATCTGTTCTATGTTTTTCTTGTTTTGAAGTTTTCTCCACCTCTGCTTCATTCCATTTAACCTCATTTTTTGTTGGAATTGAAAGAGTGGGTACACTACGGTTTTCCCCAGCTTCCACAAATTGTTTTGCATCTTCATCTGACACACTCAAAAAAGAATTTCTACATCATCATAATGAAAGACAATGTTTAATCCCCAAGTCAACATGAGATTAACAGAGATAGAAAGGGAGAGAGGATGAAGAGAAAGGGAACAGGATAACCATATGCTAGCATTGTTTAAGCCGCATTTCTGAGAGAACAGAGCATAGAAAATTTCACAAGAGCATTCATCATAACAAATAATCCAATCAACTTGGTTTAGTTGAAACAATGGTAAGCACAACAATTTGAACAATATAGCAAAGAACACAAAAAGCAACTAAATAAATAAGAAAGGCAACGGTTTATCTAGAAAGAAATATATTACGTTCTGCATATGGAGGAGTTCCAGCATTTCTTTCACCCCTCCCAGAATATCTTTGGGAAGCAACTGCCTGAGACGCAACATTAAGATGCAGCTTCACTAGCTCACTGGTGGTTTTATTATTTGCCCATTGTAAGTCATCTTCATCTACATGTATACATGGCTCTGGCACTAGTAGATTGACCACAGAACGACTTGCTAAATTATCTGCAAACATGCAAAACAGCTAAAAGAAACTACTGAAAATAAATACAATTTATTGTTCAGCATGAACTTTCAAAGCTTGGTCATAAAAAAAGACAATATTATTTAATCTGAATGATAACTATATAAGTGATCTCCTCATCTGAAAAGGATAAGATTATCCTGATCATGAAACTAGGGATTTATGTACAGCTTTATCAGTCATAGAGACAAAATGTTCTAAGAGATTATCTAATTCTAAGCTGGCACGCAAAGATAGAAAGTTTTATGTCATTCAGTCTTTAAACACTTCACCTTATTAATTACTAAGAAAACTTTACAGCATTCATGCTTCTGCCTTCACAAAAGAAAAATAAAATGATATTTCCATATTCAGGGAATATCCTACCAATTTTATTCAGAGAAAATAGTACACAAATGAAAGCAAACCTGAAGAAAACTGCATCAATGTCTGAGACGGAACAAATGCACCAGGCGTTCTCTCCCATGACCATATAACAATAGTTGTGGACATAAGAACAAAGGAGATAAGGGAAATTTCTTTACCCTTCAATCCATAAAAGCCCGCCTTCATCCTACATAAACACAAAGTTACAAATACAAGAAAGAGAAGAAAAGGAAAGGCAAGGCACCCTCTTGCCTTTTCAAATATGTAGAATAGCTATATTAAGCTCCAATGCACTAAAAATTTATGAAATTGGAAACAAAATAAACAATCTTCTAAATAAAACGGAAAATAATAGTAATTTCACATTATAAAGGAGAACAAATCATCAGTTCCTCACAAGCTAGTAATCACTCAAACTCTTTAGCAAACGAAAGCCAGAAATTGAAACAGCAACAATATTGCTGTACACGAAATTTTAATCAAAATGAACATTTCAACTTGACGTGCCTTTCTTCACCAAAACATTCACATTATTTGTGTTTGGAAGCAACTGTGACACATGCACAAGAAACCATAAATAAATAAAAGTTCACGAACTAGTAAGCTATATCTATCAGAAACGGACAAGTATTGGATATTTGGATCACTGCGATTGGCGTAAGAATATTAACAAGGGATCTGCAGGTTGATGCGAGAACTCACCTGAATCGGAAAGGCGAACTTGGAACTCAAAGAAATTATAAATTAAATATATGTTGATCGAAAATGAAGCGTGAGTAAAGGCAGGAAAAAACGTGCGGATTTGTGGTGTGTTTTTAGAGAGAAGAAAGTGGTGAGTTTCTAAAAGAAGAAGAATCTTCGAAGAACATTGTGGAGAATGCGATGCGGAGAAAACTCAGAGGAAGAAAGTGGGATAGTATGGTCCGTAGTTTAGGAGTACTGTGATTCTGCGACGAACAACACTGAAATATACCATCGGTTCATAACTTAATAAAATCTTTTAATATATAAAATAATAATTTTAATGTGACGCCATTCACTCGCTTTTTTTTAAAAATAAATAAATAACCCTCCGTCTTTATCATCGAAAATAAATAACCAAAACTAATAAATTTGAATTAAAATATTTATTTTAACAATATAAAAATATAATGAATGTTAATCGCGTCATAATCATCAATATGACAGGACTTTTGGGCAGCTAATCCTTAAAATAAGAATTTGGGAATGGAACAAATTTTCAATCATAATCGTCAATATTTCTCTTGATAATATAACTTAATAATTTTTTATAAAATTTGAGACTTAACCTTTAAAGTGGGTGTGACTTATAGGGTTGAAAGTTATACTTAAGTAGATAAAAGTTTTAGTGAAAAAAAAAAGTGTGAAACAAAATTTAAATTATTTGTCTAAGTATAATTTAGGAAATCTTGAAGTACAAAGCTATTCTAAAAAGGATGTCCCATGACACTCATTTCTGCATAATGTAACTAGAGGGAATGAAACAAAATCAAGAAAAAGTTAATTATAAGTATACTTAATCAATGTAATCAACTACAAAAGCTAAAACTAGATGACTTAAATTGACTAGAAGTCTTGCACCCTTATGAAAGGAGCTTATGGAATATTTAATCAAAGTTGTTTTCGATAAAGATATTTAATAAAATCAACCTAATTTATGTTTCTAGAATTAATGATAAAAAAACTAAACACTAAAAATATTATATGCATACTCAAGAGGGGTTTGCAAGTGGATTGAATAATGAAAAAAGTAACAATTTAAAAAATAAGAGAATTAACAATGATAATAAATTAATTAATTCATCATTCAATTTAACAATGAATTTATCACGTTCCTCAACAGTAAATCTAAATTTTATTCTTATTTTTTGTTGACTTTAATATAATTAATTAAACATTAATCAAATTAAAAAAAATGTTTATTAAACTAGGTTAGTCAATTATCACTAATCAAATTTCATTCAAACTCAAACATAAAAAATTAAAATAAAATTGACTATAATTTATAATCCTAAATTTAATCAATAAAGTTAAGCATTATTATGATTAGTAGTTTTTGTTAATTATGCATTAATATCATGTATGAAATTTAAAATTTATTAAATAAAAATTTAAAAATCATATAAAACATAAGAATAAATTTGAAAAAAAAGAAACATATTTAAATATGATTGAGAAATTAAAAAAATTATATTTATAGCATAATCTCAAAGTTTAACCGTAGAACTAGGATTGATAAATTGATCTCCAGCATTTATTTTTTGATGATTTAAATAAAAAATAGAAGAAAAAAATTATATTTTTATCTCAACTATTTAGTTTAAATTTATCACTTTTCAGATATTGTTATAATATATAATGATTTTATCATATCTTATATATTAAAATTAAAATTTTAAAATTAAAAGAGACTTATACAACTAACAATATTATAACTAGTGTGTTTGCATTTTTTTTAAAATGTGTTTGGAAGAAAGTTTTTAGAAAGAAAAAAATAAGATAATATTTTTGAATTTCAAATAAAAAAATTATATATTATTTTAATAATAAATATATTATTAATTTATTATCTTATTTTAAAAATTTACTAATTTTAAATATATTTATATACAAAATTTGTCGTTCACCTCCATTTCCTTCAAAAACCTCTGTCGCACAGGGCCCTAAAAGTTATTTTCTTTAAACTTTGGGACACATTTTTAACTTCAACTTTAGTGGCTTCTGAAAACTCAACTTATTAAAAAAAAAAAATATTGGATAGTTAGTGGCGAACGAATCTTTTTGTGAAAATAGAAAAGGAAAAGTATGTTAGCAAGTTCATTGCATTTGCACGCTGTTCCCCGAGTCTCCATTGCGTCAAGTGACAAACCCAAGCGTTAGATTTCTTTCAGGAATTGAACCCTAAAACGCAGAATATCATTTGGAAAGTGAAGAAGCTATGATATCTGAGTCCAAGGAAGTTGCAGCCACCAGCGACACACTCCAGTCCATATGCTACAAGCGCGGTTCCCTTCAGCTTCTTGATCAGGTCTTCATATTCCCCTTCACTTAATAGTGCTATTTCTTATTTCCTTTGCAAAACAAGACAATGATTTTAACTTTAACACACCCTTTTGAAGCCCAACTTAATGATAGGAACGTTACCGTTCTGTTACTGAGAACCGGCAATTCAGTTTGCTTACTTGTTGTGCAGAGAAAACTCCCTCTACAAACAGTTCACTTGGACATTCGGGATTCAACCGATGGCTGGTAAGATATTGTGTTTGTTAGTTTAATTAAAAGGGACAGACTTGTTTGTACAGTGTCTTATGCTTTGTTTGAGGATTCTGCATATGCAAATTACGATGAGTATTAATGTGATTTTTGCATTTATAGGTTTCTGGGCATGAATGGATAAATAGTTTAATTAGGCAAATGCTAAGAATATTTGGAAGAGCTTGTAAAAATAGCCTATAATTGTCATAAGTTCCTTTTAGCTTATTTCAATGAGTTTAACCAATGTCCTAAGAACATGAACTCTTATAATTGTCATAAGAGTTTATGAAAATATCCTGTGGTCCAGTTTGGGTAAACTTTTCAAAAAGTCTTTAGAGGAGAAAAAATCAGTATATAAAATGAATGAAACTTCTTTTATAAATTAGAAATAATTTAACCTTCTCTAGTTTTTTTAGAAGTTCTAAGAAATTCTGTCATTTAACTTCTCTAGATTTGAAGAGATAAGTTGTTTTTAACTTATAAGAGAAGTTTTATTAATTTTTTATACTAACTTTTTTTTTTCTATAAGTACTTCTCTATAAATTCGCCTAAACAGGGCCTATAACTGTATAACTTATCAAAATAAGCTCTTTTTAACTTATTGTAAGATGTTTTATGGTCAAAATTATGACATAAGCCCTCATAAAAAAACCTTATTGAATGAATGCTTAATTAAATTGTGTTCTCAAACACTCCCTAAGTGTTTATCCAGTAAGTGATTATAGACTATTATGTTTGAGTAAATAGCTTAATTAAGTGTTTATTTGCTAAAACTTTTATTACATGAGAATATGAGATTTGATTATGAAACTTATTCATATAAACTAAAAAATGCTTATGTTGACTAGCTTCACCAAAATGCTTATTGAAATAAGTTAAAAAGAGCTTTTAAAGTTATAAACTATTTCCATAAGTCTAAATAAGCTCCTCATAAATTCTTCCTAACGCATCTTAATTTAATAAACTTATTTTGATAAGCTTCATTATGAACTTAATGAAATCAGCTAAAAAAATACTTATAAGAGAGTAAGTTTAGCGAAATACCTGTTTAAATGCTTATATAGTTATATGTTGAGTTCAAATAAGTTTCATAAAAGTTCTTTCAAATGCTCCCTTAGTCAACCTGATTTTCTGCTGCTGCCTTGTATTACATTAGATGATTTCTTAAGTGGTCAATTTTCATGTTGCCATAGAACTTGGATTATGATCTTAATATTTTAAGTCTGTAGATTCCAATATTTTAATGATAATAACCTTCTCAGGAATGCAATACGGGATATGGTGGTCCGGGGAGCACCTGCTATTGCAATTGCAGCAGCACTCTCTTTGGCTGTGGAGGTGTTCAATTTAGATGATTTTAATGGATCAGCTGGTGATGCTGTTTCCTTCATCCAGAAGAAATTAGAATATCTTGTTTCAAGGTATTTCAATTCTCTGCATTACTAGATCGCAATCCACTTATTTTGGTTAGTTTGACTTTAAGCATGCCATTGCCTAGTAAATAGCATTTGGCATATTGAAGTGCCTTCTTAAGCAATTGATGTTGCTGCTGTGAAGTTCCTTTCAACCATGAGTTTTAGCTGATTCCTTTCTTTCTGCTGCAGTCGGCCAACTGCAGTGAACCTATCAGATGCTGTAACAAAACTCAAAGAAGTCATATCTAACGCTGCTGTTACCACTTCAGCAGCCAAGAGTATTTTCCAGGTATTGCACAAATTTATAGTGAAGGAATTCTTGTTGGTAAAGGAAGTTACATTTTTTTGCCCTTTTCACTCTTATTTTGGGTTTGGCCATTTGAACCTGAATCTACGGGATTACTTCACAGGCTTATGTAGAAGCTGCCGAAGTTATGCTTGAGGACGATGTTGCCTCAAATAGAGCAATTGGTTCTTATGGAGCTAGTTATATTCAACAACAAACAGAGAGACAGAAGCTTTCTGTTTTGACTCATTGCAATACTGGAAGGTGCATGATACAGTACCATATCTTATTATTATAGCATAAAGTATAAACATAATATCTGTTGCATTTCATTTGTTTGACAAATGAAGTGAGAAAGTGTTTGAACTCACTTGTAATTAACTGTCGTTGATTTGTTACTCAGTCTGGCCACAGCTGGATATGGTACTGCTTTGGGTGTGATACGTGCACTTCACAGTGGAGGAGTTTTAGAAAGGGCTTATTGCACAGAAACACGCCCTTTCAATCAAGTAATTGCATTTTTTCTCAAGTATATTCAAAATGTAGTTCAACAGTGTTCTTTTTAGAGAAGATGCATCCTTTATGTTAGCTTCAAATAGGATGATCTGTATAAGTTGTTTTATTGGCTACTTGTGTTAATAGCATGACTTGAAAACAGAACTGAACCATAATGATGTGTTTACTTTTTGGTTTATAGTCCATCTTCAAAGTTTCAATACTTAGCATAGATCTCTGAACAAGACAATAGCACCAAATTATAGATATTCCACATTTTGCATCTCGGTGATAGTTGTAGTTTATCTTGTTATTATATTTCTGCTTAAGTTGTCTTCCTAGTCGTTCATTTAAAATGAAAAGGAGAGAAAACAAAATCATGGAGCCCCTTAAACTAAATTTCCATTAACAGAGTCAGAAAATTGCTGGTGATATCCATGCTGATTGCTGCTCCGTTTTATTTTATTTTATTTTTGGAGTGGAGTGATGGATTGATGACATGATGGAATTTGTTCACTTAAGTCTGAGTACTTTTTAGAACATATTTCTAACCTTTATTAATGTAGCAATCTAGGCCTCTTCCTGCATCTGTGTTAAGAATAATATTTCCATTTATCACATCCTATGAAATCAAAGTTAAAATGATTTGAAGTTTGTGCTTAGTACTAATCATAGTGCTTAATTGCAGGGATCTAGACTTACTGCCTTTGAGCTGGTGCATGAGAAAATACCAGGAACTCTTATAGCAGATTCTGCTGCAGCTGCATTAATGAAAGAGGGCCGTGTGGATGTTGTTGTTGTTGGGGCAGATCGCATTGCATCAAATGGTACATCAAGTTAAAACAAAAATAATAATTTGCTTTTTTTTTTTTTTTTTTTGTAAAGCGTGAAAGCTATCATCAGATTCATCTTTCTTTCAATGACATTGCAGGTGACACAGCCAACAAAATTGGAACCTACAGTGTTGCCTTGTGTGCGAAGTTTCATAATGTACCCTTTTATGTTGCTGCCCCCCTGACTTCCATTGATCTATCACTTTCTTCTGGACAAGAAATTGTCATTGAGGAGAGATCTCCCAAGGAATTGTTGAACACGCACGGAGGACTTGGAGAGCAGATCGCTGCCTCAGGAATTTCCGTATGGAACCCAGCATTTGATGTTACACCTGCTAATCTTATAGCTGGGATCATCACTGAGAAGGTCTTTCTTACCCGTTCCCTCTCTTCACTTGAATCATTTGTATGGGTTTCGGTTGCATTTTGTTCTCTGACCATTTTAGTTCTTCGAGCAGGGTGTCATTACCAAGACATCTGCTGGTGATGCTTTTGACATTAAAGCTTTCATACAGAAAACAAGTTGAGGGCTGAACCGCTGATATTTTCAGTGCCAATGACCCATGGTGGTGGAGTGAGATTTTTCTCACACGTTACAATGTTGTAGATTTGGAAAGTATTTGCGTTAGAGAAGTGTTGTGGCAGGAGGACCAGCTTGTTCAAAATAAGTTTCCCAGAAAAAATATGCGGAGCCTAGTTAATAAGCAAGTCAATAAGAAATTGGTGGCAACCATTGCTTGTGTGGTTAAATTGGATTGGTATGGATTCTTTGAGAGCCTCTTTGGGACTCAAGTTAGATAAAGACTTGACAGTATAAGGCCTCGTTGTATAACATGATAAAACTTTAATATTATGCAGTGTTTGGTATGACATCAGATAGGTTAATATTGCATGAGATAATATTATATGTATAGTGATCCTTTGTATAACATTAGATAAGATAAAAATTAACCCTTTTTACAAAATTATCTTTTACTTAAAAATATAATATAGTCATAAATTTCTTATGCTATACTAACTTTTGGTGAAATAGTTCTGAAAGTTGAAAAAACTCACAATAACATTTACATTCAGTATAGACAGATTTAAAGAATTCTTGTAAGAATTTAACCAACTAGTTAGCGACAATCTTGGGGGCTCTTGCAAATCTTAATTCTTTAATAGCTTTTACTCTTTTGAAAGTCATATGCAACAATATTTTTACTATCATTTTTTGTGTAAATTTTTGAAAATATAATAAAATAAAATTTTAACTCTTAATGAAAAAAAATTCAAACCAAATAACTTTCATATAGCTAAAATCATGTTTTAAAAGTAGGTATCAAAGAAATCTTTACCTAGAACATAAGATATTTTTTGAGTGATTAGAACTTATCGATATTTTAAAATGGTAAGAAGATGTTAATAAATTTCAATTAAAAAGTTATTCTTGTTTCATTTAAAAAGTGTATTGATGCAGCATCACTCTTTCAAACGTATGCACCTTGAAGAAGAGGTAACTGCAGCATCCTAACACTCCTTAAGTTCTGAGCGTATGGTCTTAATAACTTCACACTCCTAGTTTTCATCCAATCCGACTTTGACCTTGTTCACTAATGCTTTGTGGTAAAAAGAAGATGAGAGGGAAAAAAAATGCATTGAAAAGATTTAATTTATTTATTTATTCAGTATAGTTGTTTGGATAAATAGAAAAATTAGAAAAATTATTTTGACTAATTGAATATAATAGAAAAGTGAAAGAAAAAAATACTGAATACTGAAACCATGTTTGATTTCTGTTTTAAAATTAATTTTTTATTTTTAAAATAAAATATAATACAATTGTATTATTGTATTATATTTTATTTTTAAAAACAAAGAAGCTGTTTTTAAAACAGAAATCAATCATTTTCTAAATACTCTTATTTTTTTTTTCTCTGTAATATTGAATGATAGGATGACTACACTAAAAAACTCTCTATGTAAGATATATATAAGTATAGGAGAAATTTTTAAGTGTTTCAGAATTATGTGGTCTTGGTCACTTATATTGCACCACGTATTTAATATTTTGTTAACGTACACATGTATTCTTTGATTGGATCGGAACCCTGCAATAATTTTTTTATAAACATAGACTTATTTTAATTATTCCATAATAAAAGAGTAACATGTGACTAAATTTGACAAACTCAAGGAATAAAACGGATAAATAATAAAATGCATAATACATTTTTTCTTTTAGAGATCAATTGTAAAATTTCCTCCATGAAAGCAATATATATATGTCCCACAATAAATTATTCTCATTTATTCTTTCCTCGTGTAAAGCCAAATCAAAAAATAGTTTTTTAATCAATTCATTTTCTATTTATTCATAATCCCTTCTTTCTTTTCAACCAATCCAAACAATACATAAAAAGGCATCACATGCTTCTATGATTATCCCCACTATCCATAACTAATACTTCTTCATCGCTAATTGCCTAAACTCTTTAATTGGGTTGAGAATATTTGAAACTTGACAAATCATTTAGCTTATATTTTATAATATTCTTTACAACTAAAAATAAAAAATTAAAAACTTAGAGTAAGTTTGTTTATATTTTTAAATAGTTAACAAACATGCTTTTAAATTCATCAACTCACACATTAGGACTTTTAGAATATACAATAATTAAGATACTTATTTTATGTTAGAATTACTTCATAACTTCATTTACATATTAAACTTGTGACTCATTTATATTTTAGTCATGTAATTCCTTTCATATATTATTACTCTATTAAAATACATATTAATTTAGACATTATAGTACTTTTCTAAGTTTTCATACTTTCACTTCATCGTTAAATTAGCACTTTCACTCTATCCTTTACCTAAAATAGATCTAATAAGTCTTTAAGTTGATGAAAGGCTCAGATAGATCAATTGATGTGGTATTGTACAAGAGACACATGCCAAAACATTTGTGACTAATTCTAAGAATGGGTAGACTTTAATTTCACAGAATAACTCTTTACTAACAACAAACTTTTTATCCATGCACTGCAATTTTGTTTAAACAGTTAACTACAAAACAAGTTTCGAGTTTTTCTCTCATGTTTTTGTTTAGAAATTAATTTTTACACCATCCTTTTTATTAGTTATATATAATTTATTATTTTCAGAATTTAGTTTTTGAAATAATGTTTAGTATAGTTTAAAAATAAAAATTTATTTTTTGAGAGTAATACAAAAAAGAGTGACACCTTCTCGCGCAGTGGAAGCATCTATAATAGGCCAACCCAATTTATGGAGATGCAGTTTCAGTTTGTCCCAATTGGAAGAACTCTCCGGGAAGAAGAAAAACCCACTAACGGCACCGCTCGCGAAACCCTTCGATCAAAGGTCCCCACTTTGCATTTTTTTTGGATGCACGTTCAAGTCATTTTATTCTCAAATTGTTTCGGTCATTGAGCTACCTTTGTTTTTGCAGGTTGGAATCGAAATGCAGAAGAAGTTGCCATTGCTACTGAACGACGCCAATGCGGACAAAACGAAGAAAAAGGTATTGAGTAGCAAGGAAGCGTTGGTGAAGCTTCTAAGGTGGCATTTTGGTTACCCTGATTTTAGGGGCATGCAATTGGACGCTATTCAGGCCGTGCTCTCAGGTCCTTTCACCTTTTTCTTTCTATAAGCATAGCAAATTGGATTTTTTTTATCATTTTCCTTCTTGTATGGTAGTAATTGGTGCCTTCAGAGAAATGTTGGTAGTAAATTTTCAACTAGTATTCTTTGCAATAGGGAAAGAGGAGTGACAATTTATTTGAAGAATGGCAGTTTAAGTTGGAATTTTGCATTGATTTTGACCTCTTTTTGTTGGTTTGTTTTGTTTTTGGTTGCAGGGAAAGATTGTTTTTGCCTTATGCCAACTGGAGGAGGCAAGTCGATGTGTTATCAGATTCCTGCATTGGCAAAAACAGGAATTGTGCTTGTTGTTTGTCCTTTAATAGGTGAATCGTGTTCTTCTTTTGTAGAGTTTGTGTCTTCCGCCGAGCTTAATGCTGCTTGATAAGTCTCTTGGTTTTGCATGTTAGGACATAGCTGTGATTACTGACTTTTGTTCTGCTGACAGCCTTAATGGTAGGCATCCTTTGAATTTTGTTGAATTAGTTGCTTTTTCAGACTTGTTGAGTTTCTGAGTTAAGAGTTTGTTTTGGCTCATTTTTAATTTCTCTTAAGTTAGGAAAATCAAGTAATGGCATTAAAGGAGAGAGGAATTGCTGCAGAATTTCTCTCCTCAACAAAAACGACAGATGCAAAAGTAAAGGTGAATTGCTAGGACTCACAAGGCACCACCCTTATCTCTGTGCCAAGGCTCACCCTCTTTATTGCAAATACTTTATCTATGTATATCAACGTGAAGTAGAAGTTTAGCTAATATAATAATTATGGTAATCTCTCAATACTATTTTCTTAAATCTTGGGGTTTATATTTGAGGTAGTTTGGTTTTATATGGATTTAAACGGATAATGTGTCTCGAAAATTCAAGCTTCTCAATGATACCACTAAAATTCCTGGATTTCTTATCCCTGAATCCTGATTTTATTGGTTATAATTTTTTTCCTTTGTTTTGTTTGGGAGAAGGGAAAGGATACATGCCAAATTCTTATGTATGTGTAGTGTAACTGTAATTTAACAAATTCCTCAGTTGTTCCCTAGTATTATTAATTAAGGAGTGTGTTTTCTCATTATGTTTTAAGATTCATGAGGACCTTGATTCTGGAAAACCATCTACAAGGCTGCTATATGTGACTCCAGAGTTGATAGCAACACCAGGTTTTATGTCAAAGCTGAAAAAGATTTATACCAGGGGTTTGCTAAGTCTCATTGCCATAGATGAGGTGTGAACTGGAAAGACCATCTCAAATTTCTGTTTTTGCTGGTATTTTCTTGGTTATTTTATTTCTGAAAAATTTTCAGGCGCATTGCATCTCAAGTTGGGGTCATGATTTCAGGTTTGTCCTACATCCTGCATCTAGCCAATTGGAGTTTGTCATGCTGTAATTTGTTCATGGTTATATTATAGGATCTGTATGTTTCTGTTAGGGCAATGATATTATTATATGGTTAATATATCCCTAGTGCCATGCCTAATTAGATTCAATCCTCTCTTTGTTACTGCTAACATGTATATATGCTTATTTTTATATTTACTTTTTATCCTATTCGTCAATGGGGACCAACTGAATTCTATTTCGTCTTTTTCTGTTATCTTTGTCCTTCTGAGTTTTCAGTATCTGAGAGTTTAATTTGCTTCTTGCGTGCATTTTACTTTCCCTTATATACACGTGGGTTAGAGTTTATTGTCATGATACCGAATTGTATTTTCCTTATTTATTTGGGAACAGACCTAGTTACCGTAAGCTTTCATCTTTGAGGAGCCACCTACCAGATGTACCAATATTAGCTCTGACTGCCACAGCTGTGCCTAAGTGAGTCTTCTTAATTTTCTTTCTTTGATAAAATTAGTTTTTTTTTTATTTTTAAATTTATTGTGTACATTAATGTGCAATGATCATTGCTTTCATATTCAAGCCTATGCTTTTGCAACTGTATCTATGTTTTCTGGAACAACAATTTGCCAATTGTTGTGGAGTTCTGCAATTGTTATTCTCTGGTAGGCAGATGATGATGATGATGCAACTGTATCATGAGAGGATTTGTTATTATGGAATTATTATATGGGCTTAGGGCTTAAATATATTCATATGCGAAGAACATGGTATGCTTACCATAATGATCATTGCACATTCCATGTAATTTCTTGGTGCAGGCATTCTCTTTCATTTTGATATCTATTTTTTATGTGTTGAAGGGAGGGTAATGAGGATCACATTGTGGCATTGATTCCTTGGTTATATGTTTTCTTCAGGGTCCAGAAGGATGTAGTTGAATCCTTGCAGATGCAAAATCCATTAATACTTAAGTCTTCTTTTAATCGTCCTAATATATATTATGAAGGTCAGTCCTGCTCTACCGTGTTATTTGCAGCCATGAATCAATTCAACTTTTAGTTTCACCATACTTGTATGTCATAAATTGCATCTTAGTAACGGTGAAACTTCACTGTCCTGTTTCACTTGTAATGTGACACACATCAATAATAAATCAAGACTTGTACTACATATATGTTTGTGCCTGCTGCAGTATGTTTGATCAAGATACAATGACAGAGGAAAGAAGAAAGCAAAAGAATTGCATGAAAATAGATAGGATGAAAATATTAACATCTTTGAGAAATACTTGCAATTCCAAACCAGTAAATTTAATTTAAGCATTCAAGTTATGGCATGAGTTTTATTGGTGAATTCCTCTGGATGTTGATTTTGCATGAGATACAGCTACTTATGAATTCAAACAATTCTGACTTGATTTCTTATGATGCAGTTAGATACAAAGATCTATTGGATAATGCTTATGCTGATTTATCTAATACACTCAAATCTATGGGAGAAATCTGTGCAATAGTTTACTGCCTTGAGCGATCGATGTGTGATGACTTGTCAACTCATCTATCCCAGAGTGGCATTTCATGTGCTGGTAATACATAATTTTGTTGCTTTTGCAAATTGATTGACTATAACTATCAGTTGATACAATATTCATATATTGTTTTGGGTCTTTTCAGCTTATCATGCAGGACTGAATAATAAAATGCGAACTTCTGTGTTAGATGATTGGATTTCTTCCAAGATAAAAGTTGTTGTTGCCACTGTTGCTTTTGGGTTTGTTTTCCACATTTCCCTTTTCATGATTGTATTAAGTTGCATGCAATTACTTCTTTTGAAGCATGCGATTATATATTGGGAGGGGATAGGTTTTTGGCCCCTGTTCACAGTAGTGGAGTGAGCATAATTGCACAAATATATCACAGGTTTCAGTAAATTTACAACTTTGTCTAATTTTAGTAATGATGCTAAGAATCTTTTTTTTATGAGATTTGTGACATTTATTTCTTTGCTTCCTATACTCTTCTGCATGGAGCTGTTTTGTTGCATATAGTTACTGAACCTTTGGCCTCCATTCAGAATGGTAAGTGGTGATTTACTATTAGTTTGATTCAAACTTCTATTTGAGGTTCTAATATTGTAATTTTTATTACACTCGTGATTTGCTAGTAATAAATAGTTAAGATTAAATTTATCAGGGCATTGATAGAAAGGATGTCAGAATTGTGTGCCACTTCAATATTCCCAAGTCAATGGAAGCATTCTATCAGGAGTCAGGCAGAGCAGGACGTGATCAATTGCCATCTACTAGTCTGTTGTACTATGGGATAGATGATCGCAAAAGAATGGTTGGCTTACTTGATACTTTGATCTTGTTTTTCTTATTAGATTTGCATACTCAAATTGTTATGTGTGTCAGGAATTTATATTAAGCAACTCAGGGAGCAAGAAGTTACAACCATCTAATTCACAAGAGTCGTTCAGAAAGTCCCTGATTGCTTTCAATCAGGTGACATTTAAATCCCAGCATTTTTTTTAAACACAGTATCTATGCACTATACCATTATGTATTTATGTAATGAAATCTATAATTAAAATATGTAGATGGTTGAATATTGTGAAGGATCTGGATGTCGTAGAAAAAGAATTCTTGAGAGTTTTGGGGAGCAGGTAATGAAATATGCAGGTAATATGTGGCATGCTTCATTTTGACACTATATTTAACTGTCTTTTTTCAAATCAGGTAACGACATCACTATGTGGAAAAACATGTGATGCCTGCAGCCATCCAAACTTAATTGCCAGATATTTGGAGGATCTCACAACTGCTTGTGCACTACACCAGAAAAATGGTTCTTCTCGAGTTTTTATCACCAGGTGCTAATTATGTGTAAAAGACCCTCTTATGCATTAGGAATTAAACTTAAAAGTTGATTAACGAAAACAAATGGGTATATACGAGTTGCTAATTTTGTGTTATAACAAATCATAAAATGGGTAGGTGTCATAGGCAGACTATGATTAATTTTAGTGTAATTCACATAAAGATATCAGATATAGCTAGTGCCTATAAAGATGGAATGGGATGGGACTTTAAGACAGCCTTTGGCTCATGGTCATGCCATTAGGCATGTGGTTTTGTAGGACCTACCATGTGATTTTCCCCTTATTTGTAGGCCTAAAACTAAAAGGATAAGAAAACTAAGACAATGAAACCCAAAATATTTTAGTAGTTTCCGGCAACATAAGGATTGTTAGATCTGACTTCTTAGTAATACTATATGATTATTCCTTGTGCATCTTATAATTCGTTTGTGGTGATTTCCTTGTACTATATTAATTAATCCTAGTAGGTGGTGCCTAGTTTCTGATTTATTCACAACTTTCAATTTTCAGATCCACTGATGCAATTGATGGAGAACGGTTATCTGAATTCTGGAATCGGGATGAGGAAGCAAGTGGATCAGAGGAAGATATATCTGACTCAGATGGTGGTACCAAATTTGTTTCAGTTGCCTGTTTTTAAGACTTGGGGTGAAGGATTGATTATTACTCTATTCATTCATGTGGATGAATTTTCCTTGGCAGATGGTAATGAGGTTGTCAACAACCTAGCCCAGTCAAAGCTTCAATCCAGATTGGGGGTAAATGAAAAGCTTGCTTTGTTACAGCAGGCGGAAGAAAACTTCTATCGAAATAAGAACACAGAAAGACAGGTATATCTTTAATGGATTATACATTTATACCCATACTGTTAGTTCGAAAAAATATATTTACCATTTCCCCTTATCCCTCATTCTATTTTCCATGGTTTGAACCTTTGGGTGGTACCAGAACAGAAATTGTTAAGCAATCTGTGGGAAAGGCAGAACAGTTCTTTTACATTGATCCATTCTCTGCTTATATATATTCTTAGTTCAATGCACTTAAGATCAATCCAACAGAAATTGTTACCCACTCCCGCTTTTGTGTCTGCATACCCACTTATCTGAATTTATTTACAGAGCAATAAAGTTGACAGAAATGCTATTTCTGATACAATGAGAGGATCAAGCAGACAAAGGTTACAAAATGCTCTAATAAAGGCTCAGCAACGGCTTGACAACTTCAAGTACGCTTAGCATCCTTCTTGCTTGTTTATACTTTATACCAACTGAAAAATGAGTTCTTTCTTCTATCACCCCTCTCATCCTTCCACAACAGAAAATCAACCACTCAGTCTCTCAACATGTTTTTTCCTATATAATAAGTGTGCAACTTATTTAACATGCAATAGCACCTTGTTCAAAGATCACATAATAATTGTGGCATAGGCAAATTATTTTATCACAAGAAATAAATCTCTCGACATATTATAATGATGGTGATGATGATAAATACCACATCTAAATTATATCACAGCTAAAGCAGTTCTATAGTTCCAATTTCTTGTTTATTAGCTTGTGTTCAGTATACCTTCCCTACCCCTGAACTAAAAGCAGCAATGACAGTTGGGATGGGGGCTATTTCCTTATTTCTTCTTTTAAAACATTTATTTAGGGTTGAACCAGAAACATCAGCATCTTTTCTTGAAGATGAATGCTACAAGAAATATGGCAAGGTTGGTAAATCATTCTATTACTCACAAGTGGCAAGTACTGTAAGGTGGGTGGCAACTGCAAGTTCTATTGATCTGAAGAACCGACTTTGTGCAATTAATGCCTCCACCTCAACGAATGTCTTGTCTGAAGCTGAAGAGCCCCTCACACCGCCACCTGCTTTAGATCCTTGCGCAAAAGAAGATACTAGCAATGAACTCTCACGCAATGCTAGATCAGAAACTTCCCCGTGTGTTGTGCCTATGGAAAGTTCTTTTAATACCAAGTTGCCACAAATACCATCCTTCTCTGAATTTGTAAATAGTAGGAAAACCGAAGGGGGCCAATTAGATGACACAAAAAAGCATTCATCAAGCGTCGAAAAGAGGATGAGGATACAGTAGATTGACTCTTGTAGCTACTATTAAAGAGTTTGGATTTTTGTTGCGATGTGTCAAATGCCAACTTTTGTTTTTGTCAAACAAATAGCACTGCATCTGAATCATTTTCGTCCTTTTGTTATAATAATAGTGTGCAAAATGTCCATTTGAGCTTTCAAAACCCGTTGATGCAGTGTTTTTGCTGGAGCAAAGTCTTGAATAGGTGATAAGCCTTAAGGATACAGTCCTGCATCAGCAGTTAAATGCTAATTTGCTTCTCAAGAGCGAAATCATGTTCAAGTCTTGCGTTTTAGTTTTACAAAAGCTACTTTTTGAAGTTAATGAGATAAATCACTCAATGTAAATATGCTAATGTCCGTTTGTTGTAATTTTATGACTATGCTCTGCATTTACTTATTATTATTCATACGCTGATTAAGGACCACATGTCACCTGCAGTTTAGAATCTTTGTGATTTTATAAACAGACCAAAAAGAGGTTGATATACCTAGTCCGCCATTTTAAATTTACGAAGAAATTTTATTTTAATACCTATTTGTAAAATAACACTGCACTTTCTTTTCTTGCTGGACATCTATTTGTTTTTATTTTTGACTAACTGATAACATTATGAAATATTTTTTTTACTTCTTTTGGTCCTTATAAAATTTGCTGAGCTTGTATTTTGTACTTTGAAAAAAATTTATTAGGATTTATTCTCTAATAAAGTTGTAATATACTCAAATATTACTACTTAAAACAATCTACATTACTTTCTTCTTGTTTTAAGAGGTTATGTTTTCAGTTAACTGATCACAAGAGGTCCAATGAATATGATGAGTTGGGGGCCTATCACATCGAACACAGGTGGTTTGAACTTTATCAAAACATTACACTAAATTTGTTGTTAGAAGAAACCGATCCCAACTTTAACAGCTTTAGGAAAAATAACATCTATGATTGGAACATAAATGGCTAACCAGAATATCACATAATAAACACTATTCAACGTATAACAGTGGTTGCTACTGCACAACACACAAAACATAATTACATAAAAGAAGTCACAGTCAATATTTTAGTAGCAAAGATTTTCGACCAATTAAAAGGATGGGTGGTGATTTATTTTATAGATAAAGGAAAGTCAGAGTTTTTATTGCCGTAAAAGCTGATCTTGATGGAGACCCTATAACTAGCAACGAGGAAACTATCCTTGATGCTACTATATATAGTAGTCTTTATAATAGCCAACTTTTCATAGGCCATCTGTATTTATGAAAAAATAGTTCAATAGAACTACTATCCAAAAGAGATACATTCTTTACCAAAGTATATACAAAAGAACATTTGTGTATTATTTACTGATGTATACCAACCTATGTTTTGGAAGGGGTATTTTATCAAGCTATACCTTATAGTATATTTTTAGAAAACCATAATTATCACTTTTTAACACAATCCTTTTAAAAGTAAGTAGGCTTGCTTACAAATCATTAGTGCTCATACACACCAACTTGTTTTTTTAGCTGGTGTATGTAAAGCAAACTACACCTTTGGTGTATTTCTTTTAAAAAAATTATAGTTATAATTTGCCAACATACTTCTTTTGAAAAAATAATTGGGTGCATGATATCATATCTAACAAAAACAGTTTTCATTGTAAGATTGTGAGAATTATTTATATGAACCTTATATTTGTATATTAAATAAAATCTAATGGGCGGAATTTTATTAAAAAAATATACAAAAGACCGGAAAGAATATAACCTTATATAAAAAGACTATACGCGGTTGATGCAAAGCGAAAAAAGTTAAACTTTTGGGAAAATTATCTGATTTATGATTTATGTGGGAGCATCTTTCCAACAAATGTCAATTATTGGCTCAGAGGCATCCGGCAATTCCACTAATACTCATTTTATAAAGTTATGTCTAATCACGTTGACGTTGACCACATCACCATGTTAAGTCAATTTCTTTTTGTTAACAAAAATTGAGTGTCTGCTATTCCTACCATTTGCTATCCTCTAGTTTGATCAATCATGGCGGAAGCACTTGTGGGTGGAGCTTTTCACTCTGCTTTCATTAACGTTGTTTTGGAGAGGGTGTCTTCAGCTGAGTTTGTGAAGTTGATCCAAGGAAATAACCTTGACCAAGACTTGCTGCAAAGGTTGAATAATGCTCTGTGTGCTGCTGAAGTTCTGCTTATTGATGCTGAGCAGAAGCAAATCAATAACCCAAGTGTCAAGAACTGGCTCCATAATCTCAGGGATGCTGTCTATGTAGCTGATGACTTGTTAGATCGTGTTTTCACCCAAGCTGCAACTCAGAAGGTTAGTAACTTTCTCCCTCGCTTTCTTCATTCCCATAATAGGGAGATTGTGAATAAGATGGAAGAGGTTGTTAGAAGAATAGAGATGTTGAAAAACGCAAGTATATCCTTGATCTCAAACACATTCCCAGGGAGAACTTCTCTTGGAGGACTCCCTCTACTTCTCTCGTCAAAGGGAATATATATGGCAGGGAGATTGACCAAGATGCAATTATTCATATATTAAAAGATGATACTGATGATCAAATATCTGTGATCCCTATTGTGGGCATGGGTGGTGTTGGAAAAACCACTTTAGCCCAATGGGTGTATAACAATGAGAACGTGATGAAGGAGTTTGATTTGAAAGCATGGGTTTGTGTTTCTGAAGAATTTGATATTGTTAAGACTACAAAGACTATAATAGAGTCACTTACCTCTGGTGTTTGTAATAAGATGGATCTAGATTTACTTCAACTTGATTTGAAGGAAAGAATAAAATTCTTTTTTGTTCTGGATGATGTTTGGAGTGATGATTATGATGGTTGGAGTAGTCTTAAAACACCTTTTCAATATGGGATTAAGGGAAGTAAAATTCTCGTGACAACTCGTAGTGAAAAGGTTGCTGCCGTTGTCCAAACTTCCCCACCTTACCATTTAAATCATTTGTCCGATGAACAGTGTTGGTCGGTGTTTGCAGATCATGCGTGTTTTCCCAAAACTAATGGGAATTTGATTCTAGAAAATATTGGTCGAGAGATTGTTAAGAAGTGCAAGGGATTACCTTTAGCAGCACAAACACTTGGAGGCCTTTTGCGAGCAAAACCCAATGTCCAGGATTGGAATGCTGTACTCACCAATGAAATGTGGGAGTTTTCTGCTAATGACAGTAAGATCATTCCAGCATTGAGAATAAGTTATTACCATCTCCCTCCACCTTTGAAAAGTTGTTTTGCTTATTGTTCTCTGTATCCCAAGGATTATAAATTTCAAAAAGATGAATTAATCTTACTGTGGATGGCAGAAGATCTTTTAGAGCAGCCAAAGAAAGGAAAGACTTTAGAAGAAGTAGGTGCTGAATATTTTGATGAATTAGCTTCCAGATTATTTTTCAAAAAGTATTATGACCCTGTTGACTACTTGTCTTACGTGATGCATGATCTGATGCATGACCTAGCAATATCTGTTGCTGGAGACTTCTATTTTAGGTCAGAGGAACTTGGGACGGTTGACAAGATTAAGATTCATACTCGTCATCTGTCATATGGAAGGTTGAGTCATCCAATCTCAAAAAAATTCAATGCTATTGATGAATTAAAATATTTGAGAACTTTTTTGCAAGTCAATTTTTCACCTCCTTCGTTCAGCTTTGAAAGTGTCATTTCGATCATACTATCGAAGTTCAATTACCTAAGAGTTTTGTCATTCAACGATTGTCGGGAACTTGATACATTGCCTGATTCAATAGGTGAATTGATCCATCTTCGTTACTTAGATCTCTCCAAGACAGGTATCAAAACATTGCCAGAATCATTGAGTAAATTGTACAATCTACAAACATTGAAGCTGATTTATTGTGTACAACTAACTGTGTTGCCAAGTGGCTTGCAAAGTCTTGCAAACTTGCGACATCTTGATATAACCGGAACTGCTTTGAAAGAGATGCCTGGGGGAATTAGCAAACTAAAACATTTGCAATTTTTAAGTAACTTCGTCGTGGGCAAACATAAGGATAATGGCATAAAGCAATTAGGAGACCTTTCAAATCTTCAGGAATCATTACTGATTAGTGACTTGGAAAATGTTACTGACAGTGACGAAGCAGCAGAGGCAAGAATAATGGACAAGACTTTCATAAAAAGTTTGTCCTTGCTGGGCTCTTGGGTTAGTGATTTGAATACAACCTCATCGCATGCTGAAAGAGAGGTATATGACAAGTTACAACCTCACAATGGCCTAGAATATCTATCCATCACGAACTACTGGGGTACGAGATTTCCAGATTGGGTTGGACATTCTTCCTACCACAGTATGACTCGTGTAAGTCTTTACTCCTGTAGGAATTGTTGTATGCTTCCTTCACTTGGACAACTATCCTCTCTCAAGACCTTGACGATTGCAAATTTTAATGGGCTTGAGACTGTTGGTGCCGAATTTTACAAGAATGATAACGGTCATTCTTTTTCAGAAACACCCTTTTTGTCCTTGGAGTATCTGTCATTTCATAATATGCCATGTTGGGAGGAGTGGTATTCGTTTAAATATGAAGCTTTTCCTAAACTTAAAGATCTTATAATAAATGATTGTCCCAAATTGAGGGGACAGTTGCCTGAGCACCTTGCTGCTTTAGAAACACTACAGATTGAAAAATGTGGTGATCTTGTTTCTTCTCTCCCTCAAGTTGGTGATAGATGGATTTCATGAACTTGGGATTACCAACAGCAACAGATATTTTGTCTGTTTAACAGTGGAACTGCATTCTGTTCATTGTCCTTGTAGCGTGTAATGTTCTTGATCATCATAATAGTTGCTTATATAAATAAATTAAGGATTTAGTGTTGACTATCAAATCCAATTGACATGGAGTCATTGAAACTAGAGTTCATCTTTGTGCTTCACCCTCACTTGAAGACTGAAGATGGTAAACAAAACTTACTACAGTCTGCAGGTGCTGTCACGTTGGAGCATTCTTCCCTCCCAACAGTCATCGCCTTCCTATTCCCTTTCCCACTGTATCCTCCCCTTTGTTTCTTTTTCTCTTCATTTTTCTTTTATATTGTAAGAGTTTGTTCATATATTTTATATAAGATATTTAATTTAATTATTTATTAAGTTTATGTTATTTTTATATGTTTTGAGATAGAAAATATATTAGTTTAATTAATATTGTTTGCATAATTTTCAGTCAATAACATACTTTTGGCTTTCCGTTTACAGTTTCTTTCATCAAGTATTTCTGTTATACGATTAGTTACGGAATAAGTTAATAATTTATAGTTTATAAATTATACTTTTTTTATTTTGAAATTTTTGTTAAATTAAAATTTTGAAATAGTTATTTGTAATTTACATTATAATTAATAGTAAATAATTGTTAAATTCTTATTTGAAATTATTAATATGTTATTTAACTTAAAATTTATCGGTAATTGTTATGCAATACTTGTTAATTTTTAGTAATTTTAATATATAATTTAAATTATACAAGTTGTTATTTAATTTTTTAAATTAATACATGTTAAATTTATAATTTAGAAAATAGTTGTTAAATTCATATTTAAAATGAGTAAATTTGTTAAATTTAATGAATAAATTAGTTCAATTTAAAATTTAGTAAATATGCCTAACTTAAATTCTATTTTGAGAAAGGAACATTTTATAGGTTGCAATCGGAAAATTGGTTTAGGAATTGATTAGAGATAAAGCAATATAATTAGTGGTACTCTAAGAATAAAAGTCAACAATTATAAAGCTTTATGAATTCTAAAACTTCATATTTGCTCTAGTTGAGAATTTTTAAGAGATTAGAACCTCTGACTTGGAAAAAAAGGTATTAATTTTAAAATCATAAGAAATAATTTAACCTTTCATTATACTTTTACGATTTGAATTAGAATGAAAATTTAGAGTACCAAAATTAAGGTTTAGTGAACTCATTTTTTAATATTTTAATATATTAATTTTTCATAATAAATGTTATATTTAATAATTGCTATTATTAAAAAAAATATTCATTATGCACTTCTATGATTCAGGTTACTATAAATTTTATGCTTGTGACATGAAAATTGATTCTTTCGTGAGTCAAATAATAAAAATTTAAAGTTGAATTTTAATACTAAAGAGAACAATATTTGACTTATCCTTCTGATTAAATTAACCCAAGCACTTGTCATGATTTTTACACATCGATAAAATACTAATTTTATAACTAACAAAAGCGAACAACAAATTTACATGACAGATAGGATTAATTCTCCTACATTGACTTAGCCTAAGCAAAAACATACTATATTATTCAATGAGGACTGAACTTCACTAGTTCATGTACTAAAAAGTGGTAATTTTCCAATAAACATGGAATTAAGACTACCTAGGTAAAGGTTGTCCTCAAACTCTAAAGCTGAAGTTACAAAATTAATCACCTTGCCATCATTATCATCAAACTCTTTGATTATGTTGCCGTTGGTTGCCACATTCACCACCATTGCTTTCTTCCTTGCACCATTGACCAAGTTTATTAGCGTTGGAAATGAAGCAACCAGGTGCTTGGATATCTTAGAGTAATGCAAAAACTCAAGTCTTTCAGAAGTCAACTGCATAAATATTAAGAAAAGCTCAAGATATAATTTTAAAAAGTATTTGAAAAAGATAAATATCTTTGATAAAGTTAGATTACTATCATATTGAGTTTAGTGAGCATGTGGTCAAGCAATAATCATTTGCTTTTTATATGGCCAAGAATTCATATCAATGTTACGTGAATCAAAGCGATCCAAAATGACCCATCAGGAGCAAGATTGATGTTATCAGGTCCACCAGGAAGGTTTTCAATTAAAATATCTGTCATGCCTTTGTTTGCTCCTTTTAGCCAGTGTCTGAGGCATCTATATCTAATAAAAAAAAAATCAAATAATTAAAAAAAAGTTTAGATGATAGAAAGTGCGTCAATATAGAATAACAATAATGCCTTTTCTATAGCTCTATATGCTCCAATATGTATCCTTTATACTCATTACTTAAATTTTGAGAAAAAATCACTTACCAGTACCTTTTATCTGTCCCTTTGATTTATTTTATTTTATGTTTTTGAAGAGATATAAATAACATTATTTCATTGTTTTGATGCTTACAAGTGACAATAGATGCATTAACTGAGAGCATAGAGAAAAGTTCAATTAAAAATTTACTTACTTCCAAGTTTCACAAACCACAAGATAATCTTCATCCTTAGAGAGTGCTACACCATTGGGAAATGTCACATTATCAAGAACAATAACGGTCTCGTTTGACGTGGGATTGTACTTGAGAAGTTGTCCATGGGGTCTTGCCTCTAGCATATCCAGAAACCATTCATGAAGATCAAATTTGTTACTAGCAACAGTGAAATATATATTCCCGTCGGATGCTTCTATCACATCATCCGCAAACCTGGTTCAATCATTATAAAAATTCATAGTGATGATCAAGTGAACCTTACTACTTAGAACAATCTATGTTGTTTTCTTTTGTAAAAAAAAAATCAAAGTTTTTTTTTTAAAAAAAAACTGGTCACAAGGGAATAATCAACCCTGTGGTAGGAACAAAAGAACGAACAAAACCCCAAGCGATCTACTAATGAATATTGTTTGTCAGGCACTCTAACCTTAATTGAGAACCATTTACTTGTGAAAGGAGAACACTGAAACCATCCTCTTCTGTAACCTTGAGCAAACCCTGCAAATCATAATCAATGTCTTTAATCTTTTACCATATATTTTACCATGGAGCCTTCTAGGATTTTAAGAAAGTTATGGTTTTGTTGAAGTTACTCCATTAAATAAATAATTCCATCTTAAGTAAACTAAGAAAATTAAATTATTTTAATTTAAATTATATGAACTTTGTATTTATTTATTTATAGACAAAATCGCCTTATTGTACTTAAGATAGGATTATTTATCATATGAGATAATTTAAACAAATCCAAAAGTTAATAGCTGAATCCTTGAGACTGAAAAGTGACTATGCTCTTCTTGCAATTCAATATCCAACACTAGAATATGCCTTTCTCGTGTAATGTGAAGACATGGTTTCGCTTTTGCAAGTGAGAGTTTATGTTACCTTAGCCGCATCGCATACAATGAGGCCACCATCTTTTGCGGTTGTGATTCCAAGCAAAGCATCACTATCTATATGCTTCCAATTCTCCCAATTTTCATTCTTACGCAATCTTTTAATCCAACCATCTCGAGTAGCTGTATAGAGAATCCCTTCTTTATCCACACAAACATCTTCTGGGTCCTTCAAAAATCCTTCTCCAATTTTAATGATATTCTGCTAAGGAACTAATTAGTATATAGCAAAAATAAGTAAACATTAATTCATTAACACCACAAGACCATTCAAGAACTATTAACACTTCACCTGTAATTTGTTGTTTTTGGTTAAAGTAGCGGGTTTTATATGAAGCACGATTGGATCTATGGGAGAGAAGTAGAAGACTTGAACTGTGAGAGCAACTAAAACTGCTAGAACCAAGCTTGAGCTCACTGTTACGCAACGTTTTCCAGTAGAGAAAGGTAGATTGATCGTATTGGAAGGTGGCATTTTGGGATGTGGAATGTGTTAATATCCAAATGTGTAAAATAATCGTATTGATCGAAGTCTATGATCATATGTTAAAGGAAAGGTGAAGAAAATTTTCCACAAGTGTACGGATAACTATGTGTGAATGTGTGGTCATAATTAAAGCTGTGCCTGTTTGTTCTGATATCTGTCAACCATAACAAATTTGGACTGTTCTGCTATATTTTGTTCACGTAGGTGGGCACAAGTAAAGCAGTGTTATTTGAACTGAAAATTACATCTTTAAAGTGACGTTCAGAATTTTGTTTTTTGAGTATAATATTGTTAGAAGAATCTTACAGATCACCGAAAGAACATTTTGATGAAGAGAGAAAGGTAAATTTTCATAAAGAAAGAAAGTGCATATTTCAAATTTGTAATGATGTGATCGTGTTGCAATCCATATCAGAATTAAATTTGGGTTTAAATTTGGGTGTGTACTTAATGTCCTGGAAAGGGTAATATACCGAAGTTACATGAACTGACTCGTAGAAATTCAGAATTAAATTGATTATTTATTTTTAGATTCAGACTTGCAATTTCACGGATCAATCTATAGGTCAAAGTCCATATACCCAGTTTAGGTAGAAAAATAGTTGAACTGCACTCTTGATAGATCTACCAAAATGCAAGTATTCTAAGTTAATTGAACAAATTAAATAATTATTTATCATTTTTTATTAAAAAAGTGAAGATAAGATTATGAAAAATAACTTCAGCTCGATTAACCTGAACCTATTCACACATATTTTTCTGACACAACAGAGAATTCAAAGCCATATAGTTATTTCTAAGAAATTTTCTACATTGATTGGCTTTAACTGTGAATTTTTGAATTTTTACCTTTTTTTATTTTTATTTTTATCACCTAAAACTCTAATTGAACTAAAAGGCTATTTTAGCCATGCTTTATTTTATTCTTATTATTCGACTCTTTTTGTCTACGTCTTGAATCATCTAACGACAAAAGTAAACCTCATTTTTTAAGTTTAGTTAAAATTCTATATAAAGGAAACACATTATCTATTTTTTTTATGATCTGTATTTTATTTTCTTATCTAATAAAAGAAAATTTTTAGGAGAAAATCGTGAAAAACACGTTGTCATGGCTTAAGTCATTTCTAAATATTGAAAATTGCCATCGTTAATTTATATCATCATTGGCATCAACAAATTTGGGTGTGTACTTCTAAATCGGCATACAAGTTCACATAAAAAAAAATAACCAAGGATTTTATTTGCATTAATCTACAAAATTAATTTTTAGTATTTAAAAGAAAAAATATTTTAAAATTTATTATGTCAAGAATATATAAATATAAATATGGTAAATTTTTTCTTTCTAAAAGAACTTGCATTTATTTTTATTTTATTTTATTTAGAAGCGCTTCTCTATGATCAAAGTTCTTTCTCAAGTTTACATATAACCTCCTTTGATTTTATATTTTTTAAAGTGCACTTAATCTTTATAGATTTTTATAAACAACCTAATCCCTTCTATGTAAGCCACTTTATATTTTAGTTTTTACACATCTCTTCTTGTAACTTGTTTCTTCTCCTTTGAAAAAAATTGATTTTGATGTTCTTTTATGAATATTTTTATTTTTGCAATGCCCCATCAAAATGAGCTGTTTACGTATATTTTGAAATTAATCAATGGAATATACGTTTATGAATAAATAAAAAAAGGTAACTTTGTCCCCGAACAGTCATCTAATACCACCCAATTAAATTATTAAATTTCCAGTTAAATGCCAAAGTTGCTCAATCTACAACTGGAAGCAACATTCCCTAACATAACCACAAATAGCCTCACTTCATTAGCATATTTAAATATCAAACATTTTGATTGAGAAATAAGACTTTTTGCACCCAATTTATTTGACCTTTATTTAACATAATGTTATAAATTGATGCCAGCATGTCAAGGTGCCATTCTTACAGCAAGCATGTCTAGTAATACAACACATTCAGCTCATGTCAGCCAGATTTAAATCTCCTATGAAACTCTTTTCTGGATGCAAAATTGCATTTGAGCATCCTCGTGTGCAAGGAACACTTACTAGCCGAAGTTTATCCCCTGAGCTAATGGTAGTTCACTTCCATAATTGATGGTACTGCCAAGGACAGAAATTACAATGTCATCACGAGCATGCACAAAAAATGAGGATCAATGCAGTATCATATATTCAACTAAGACTTACCAAGTAGAACGCCTCATGTATTGCTTCCAGGAGTCACTACCCGCTTCACGACCACCACCTGTTGCCTTTTCTCCACCAAAGGCACCACCAATCTCAGCTCCATTTGTTGGTATGTTCACATTCACTGTACCACAATCACTACCTCGTGGCCTGCATCGTAATCACACTCATGAACATGCAAAATATACTATTTATGCAGCTCTAAATCATTACAGAATATTTTTGAAGGGTAGGACAAAATAGTCTGCAAGTACTTACCCAATCCATTTGAATATAGCTTCAGGTCTTTTTGTAAAGATTGAACTGCTCAATCCTTGAGGTACAGAATTGTTCAAGGCAATTGCTTCTTCCAGAGTCTAAGCAGAAAAATTGTGAACTTCTATCATAAACTAAAGACCAAAAGAAACAAGTCCAATAAATGGAGATATAGAAAATAAACTACCTGAAATTTCATCACATATAGAACTGGACCGAACAATTCTTCTTTGACTACAGAAGCATCTGGAGAAATCTCAACAATTGTTGGCTGTACAAAATTTCCTTCTGACTCTAATACAGATCCACCTGTTAGGATCTTCCCTCCCTGATAATCAGAGTATCAAGTAAATCACCCATCTCCTTACAGAAAACAATTATCAATCATGTATGCGAAAAAGCTTGCATATATACTATTGGCGAAAATAACAGATAAGATATGGAAAGTTACACAACTAAATATTTAACTAGGAAATAGTGACAAGAAACATGCCTGAGATTTTATGACTGAGATGCCCTTCTCAAAGTTATCAACTGAGGAACGAGTATGCAAGGGCCCAACTAGAGTCCCCTTCTCTAAGGGGTTCCCAATTTTGACTTGTTTGTAGACTCCAATAAGTTGATCTAGTACATTTGTGTAAATACTCTCATGCAGAAACTGCAGTGCAAGGTAGCTAAATTAAAATAAATATACCTTCAAAAAACCATATATTACAGCATAAGAATTTTTTTTAAAATTGGTTCTAATACCAGTCTACGGCAAGTTGTACACCGCTGACCAGCAGTACCCACAGCTGCAAACAGAATAGAGCGTACAGCCAGCTTGATGTCTGCATCATCCATAACTATTATTGCATTGTTACCACTTAACTCAAGCAAGCATTTTCCAAATCTTTGATTAACTGTTTGCTGGACCATCAAGCCCACCTATATAAAGGGGAACCATTCATTATGAACTCAAAAGCACTGATCTTAATCTCCAAATCATTCTGAAACAAGTAAGCATTTGCACGGTTTTCTCTAAATAGAATGTTTTCATAGAGGGGCAAGAGCATCATACAAGATTCACAGTGCATGAAACGTGGAGATAGTTACACTAAAGAGGTGATGTTCTAGTGTATCAGATATCTTAATAAGAAGTTAATGCAATAAGAGTTGCACCACTAGTACTATTAGGCACTAACTAGGCATCATTCAGGTGACAACTACATCTTTTAAGCTTTAACACAACATACAAATTTATAAATACCATTCGGTTAGTTTAATTTTGTTGCCCGTTTAAAACATTATGTCAAACTACCAAGTACACGAAGAAAGTACCTTTGAACTTCCAGTAAATGAAACCAGAGAAATGCGTGTGTCTTTTGATATTGCCTGACCAATTTCAGCACCTCCACAAAAAGAGGTGAAAATTGCACCAGGTAATTTGTTCCTCTCAAGAACTTCAACTACTAGCTTTGTCACAGCTATAGTTACCAAAGGAGTTGTTGGAGCACCCTTCCTTTAATGCACATGGTAATCAGAGAAAAAAAAACTAAATTAAAAAGATAACACAATTGTCACTGAAAATTTGAAACACTCCAGATGAAGCTGACTAGTGAGAATATATCACAGAAAAATTCAAAAGAGATCTGCCGAGAGGTCATATAGTTCATAATTAGCACCAACTAACATGATTTGATCATCATTTCTAATAGACCTTTCTTGGCAGTGTATATTTTATGAACCTTTTTTTTTTTTTTTTTGTGTGTGTGTGGGGGGGGGGGGGGTGGTTGAATACTGAATGGAGTGGTAAGAGCACCATAGAGATAAGCATCAAGTATGCAACCATTATGTAGATAGATCAAAATTCAATGATGATTGAATATAGCACTTTAACCATTACCGTGAATTTCATGAACCAAAAAAGGACCCCTACCAAGCCTTATCCCACTTACTGGGTAAGCTTCATGGATTGATGTCATTGGGATTTTTGCCCCACGTGAAAAAAAAAGTCACTAGAAGTGCAAGGGGAGAAGTTGGAGGTTAAATTGTCTTCAAAACTCCTAGCTTCTTCTGAAATAACATTATTCTATATATTCATTTAACACAAATAAATTAGGTTATATATCCATCCAAAAGGTGTACTGCCCCAACAACAGGTTACTTGCGAGAAAGCCTAAAATTCAAGGAAGATGTCACCATCTATGTTTTTGAACAAATGAATTAATCGGTGCCAATAAAATACATACTCTAAACATTAATGTCCAGAACTGAAGTATTGGTAAAATAGTGTTGAGAGTTTAACTATCATTCAAGTCAAAGACAATGGTGGAACACAAGACCAACAATTGATTTGAAGTGTACATATAGTATTGTCCAACCAATTTTGCAAAAGATACCACAATCAAAGCCAATCACTTATGCAAATAAAGAAAAAATATTGTACAGGCCATACAGGCAATGAAATATTAACAAAACAATCATGATCTGACTTAAAAATGGCCAGTTGATTAATCTCATCAAATAGACGAGATAGATATATTGACTTACCACACAACACAGTTACCACAGACTAATGCAATGCAAGCATTCCATCCTGAGGCACAATGGAAATGAACAAGTTTTAATTACAATAAAAGCATCAAAAACTTTTCAGAGTATAGAGTGGATCATATGATGTAGAATGCAGTAAAAATAGATGGAAAGACTTCAAGAGTTAGTTATCTGCTTACATATGTTGGAAATGAACCACTGATTTAAAGTAAAGATCAATAATGACACCAGTAGTATGTTTGCTTGACAAAGATTTGAAGTCACAATACCTATTCTTAGTTATTTTGGAATTATATGAAGAGAATATAACGAGTAACAAAAGCTATAATATATAACCAGATGGAAATGCATTGAAGAACAGAGATAATATAAAGTGAGCCAAATGTGGTGATCAATTGGATAATATGCAAGATTAGTGAAATGATGATAAAGTAAAATTTTATCAGAAAGATATTCCACGACCAAGTTGATTACAATTTAAGATCACTCCTAGATAAATGTATGAAGTTTATATAATATGTGCCTAAAATTAGATGACCAAATGACACTAGTGAATCCATTCGCATTTTTTAACTGATTATATATAATGTCAATATGATATCTAAGATCCAGAGGAATTTGTTGCTCTGCGCATTGAGGTAGTATGAGTAAAGCATACCTAGAACAGCACATGGAAAGTTGAAAGCAGTGATTACACCAACTATTCCTAGTGGGTTCCACAACTGTGATGTAAAAGCATGCATTAAAGTTAATATTATACCTCCTGATATAAAATGGTAAGGAAGTCAGGTAATAATTATATTTTAAATATGCACCTCAAGCATCATATGATCAGGACCTGTACAAAGACAAGCAAAAGAAAACAATAACTCAAAACTGGAACACCTTAGAGAGAGAGTAATATCAAAATAAAAGCCTATCTCTAACTACAAATTATTTTTAACATGTAACAAGATCGAATAAAAAGAAAGATGAACTATCAAATAGATAAACAATCTTACGTTCTGATGGTACAACTGATCCATTCAATTGTCGACTTAGCCCAACAGCATAATCACACATATCGATAATTTCCTGTAATGGATAGAATGAAAGATTACAAATTATAATATGTGCAAATAATTTTTCACATAATATTTTCTCTTTTACACAGGACAGATGATTCATTTAGTTTTGTGCATAATTATAAAAAGCACTAAAATGCTATCAGGGCAGAATTGCCAATTAGCCTATACGCATCAAACATTTATGGAATACCCCCTTGAAAAGTGACCATCCTCGGAGAATCAAGTATAGGGAATATGACAAGAAGATGCAGTGAATATTGAACAATTCTAAAATACAAGGAATTGACCATAACACTGAATATAAGACACAGAATGAAGAGATTTCTGATACCTGAACCTCCCCAATTCCTTCTGGAAGAATTTTTCCCATCTCAAGAGACACCAACCTACCCAGAGGATCCAATTTGGCCCTTAATGCTTCACCAATTTGTCTTACAATCTCACCTCTCTTTGGTGCCGGAATCTGCAACAACATCACAAATGCATACTCATTTATTTTCCAATAGTACGTAGATGCAGCACTGGGCTACTGCAACTCTAACGTGGAACTAAAACACAAACATAGAACTCACCAAAATAATAATAATAAAGTATTTTAAAAAGTACTCACAGTCATCCATATCTTAGCTGCTTCACTGCAAGCTTGCAATCCCTCTTCATAATCTTGCAAAGTTGCTTCAGTCACTTCAGCAATAGTCTGATTTCAAATCAAGAACAATTATATCACATGCATCACAACAAAATCTAAAAAAGCCACACAAACCATAACAACTCAGCTCAACATCGTTCTACTTCATCCCTCAGGTTTCAGGTTTGATAAAATAAAAATAAGTAATCAATTAAAAAAAAAAATTTCTTTCGCCCCCAATTGAATCACATCCAACTTAAGACGAATTGTCACTTGAAAACAATTTACTTTTAAGTTGGAGTATACCAAAGTTGCCTTCAACAATTCTCCAAACATGTGAAGAATTCCAAAACAGAGAGAGAGAGAGAACCTGATTGTTAGAAGGATTAAGAGAAGTGACAGAAGAACCAGAGGCTTTCCATTGACCATTAATATAAGAGCCAATGTTGGTTGAACCTAAACCGATCTCCTTCATAAACTCCATGCTTTTGTTATCTGAGCCCATTTCCCTGCAACTCAATTATCATAAAATGAAACTAGATATGATAGTGGAAATAAAATTTCTGAATTTATAGAGTTAGTTCCTCACAGTCTTACAGAGACAGTGATGGGAAAAAGTGATGGAGATTTCTACAATATAGCTCACTTTCCCAGATGATGATATATAAAAACAATATTATTAGGTCACCCTGATAAGAACGAACAGTGATGACATCAAAATAGAACAGTTATTTCAGATTCTAGGATTTCTTACAAATGCAAAATGCGCTGTTGCGTATAAACATGTATCAGTTCAAACTTTAAAGCTCACAAAATGTTCCAAAAAAAACAAAAAACTTGTTAATAATTATTAAAAAAGAACCTGTTATACTAATGATAGAAGTTATTTAATATTTTAATAAATATTCAAATATTTAACTAAAGTAAATTGAATATTTCTCTACTGATATTCCTTAATATGATGATCTTCAATTTTAATGTGTATTAATAAAGTACTGAATTTAGCCTAATAGTAAAAAAAGTCCCAAACCATGATTTAAACCAAAGTTTGTATTTTACAATTTTTGCTCAAATGATAATTTTTAATTGATATCTAAAACTATCAAAATTATGTCAACTGTGAGCTATTTAAAGAAATACATCAATATACTTATTTTTATATTGTAAATAATTTGATATAGAATATAATTTTTATTCTGTTAAATTATAATTATATATTTTTATATATTTTAACAGTATATATTATATTAATTTTAATATTTATAAATAAAATATTAAATAATTTTAAATTAAGTTTAAAGTTTACATATATATATATATATATTATGTCATTAAAAATTTTAATATAATAATTAATTTAAAATTATATTATTAAACAGTATAAAAATAGATATAGTTACTAGTATTGTATAAATTTTAAATTAGTAATTCATGTAAATTAAGGTTAAACTGATAAAAAAAAATACCTTAATTTTATTGATTCAGTGCAGATGAATTACAATGAAATTTGACTCAGTTTTATATATTTTTAACAAAAAACGATTTCGTTTCGGACAAAATAGGGAAAAACATTGCACAAGATAATGATACTGTCATATCATTGAGAGTGAAATTGAAGTACTTACGTGGGTTGTCACGGAATAGGATTTTGTCGTATCGTTGCCATGTGTAATGTCTTCTTTCACTCAGCCTAAAATCTTCCTTTATTTAACAAACAAACTCCATTAATCAATGTCTTTCTCCATTTCATTTTCATAAAAATAAAAAAAAATGTTAAAAATATTTTAAAATGTAAAAATATAATTTTCCCGTATTTTAATGATTTTAATATAATTTTTAATAAAAATATTATTTATTTATTATTTAATCAATATTTTAAAAACACACAATAAGACACAAATTAAAATATATTTTAAATTTATATAAATATAAAAATTGAATTTTTATTTTTTTAAACAAATTTTTAAATATTTTATATAATGTGATTAATACTACTGTCTGATAAAGTAGTTGAAACAAGTAATTCATATTAATATTTTTTATTTTTAGTTACCAATTAAAAGTTACTTTTTTGGTAGATAATAATGTTTTCAATTAATTTATTCTTTGCTCATTTAATTTCTTAAACTCTACTTTATTTAAAATTTATGAAATTAAATTAAAAATTAAAAGATATTCATTATTTTTATGAAACTAAAAATATATTCAGATATAAATTATATTATAAAATTTGTTATTATTTTTCACATAAACTGTTTTGGAGAAGTGGTGCGGTTGTTTGGGACATAATTAGATTGTAGATCAACAAAGTAATCATAAACAAAATAAGCAAAATATATATTAGTTTAAAACAGTAAAAGTTGCCTCATGAAACGATAAAAGTGATAGGAGATGATCCGTAACATTCTAAATTTCTATAATATATAAATGTGTCTATGAATGACACACACAATATATAATTATTTTCAAAAAAATAATAACAATATGTAATTATTATAAATTTTTTAAATTAGACAATAAAAATCAAATACTGATATTTTATAGCATTTTAGTAATTTTAGAATAGTAATAATTTTATATTATTTTGGACAAATATTTTTATTTTATAGAAAATAAAGCTTAAAATTATAAAAATAGATAGTAAATTTTATAATAAAAAAAATGAACGAAAAGTTTATCATGATAATCAATATGTAATTCCTAGACAGGGAATGAGAGATTAATGATCGATCAAATTGATTTCGTTGTATGTAAAAATCTCATCAAATAGTGTTTGTAAGGTCTTTTTATCATATTAAGAAATTAAATATAATATTTAAAATCAATAAAATTTTAAATTTGAAAGTTTGTTAATGCGTCATTGTATGCTGGGCTTGGCTTAAGAAATGTTTGTTAACCAATATATATGTCTTAGACTTAGAATTTTCTCGAGTTACAATTAATTTTATAAATAGTATTATTTTTACTATTATAATTGATTTATATCGATGAAGATATCCTATATTTCAAATTTCACAACTAAGCTTAACTAATTAAGGTTTAATTGGGGTGTGTTCTAAATGATCAAGTGAGGAGGAGAAATTTTCGGGTCAAGTGTTGTATCTAAACTTAATTATATGTGATATATGGAAATGATTCATATACTCTAATTAAGTTTTGGTAAAATTATTTAATTATTTATTTATAATGAATAATAAAATTTTTAAATTTAACTATCTAATCAAACATATGATTAAATAAATTGACTATAAAATTTATATAATTTAATAAATTAATATTTTATCAGTTAATTTTATTTTAATAAATACTATACTATTTAAAATAGTATATTTGTAAAAAAATATTATATAATTAACATGTTGAATTAATAAATTTAATATTTATAATAAGTTATTGAATAGAATATGATATAAGAGAAACCTTTATTTAAAAAATAAAATTTATTTAACTTTCTAATCCATTAGATGAATGACACTTGCATGGCTAGGACTTTTGCCTTTTCGGGAAAAAATAACTTAAGAGACAATATACTAATAATTCAATAGATCAACATTTCTGATCTTTGGGGGAATAAAATTTTTACTTGGGCCTTGTTTATAAATCAAGCCTAACTCCTCTTTATAAAATTATCACTTGTTATTAAATTAAAGCTTCTTGATTACTTCTCTCTCCATCTCTATTTGAAGATTGAACATTTTTCTTTCCTCTTCTTTACGAAGCTCAAGCCAAACTTGATCATCTTCTTCCCTCTCTCTGCTTTTATTTTTTAAGCTAATGAGTATGTGTTGGTCTTTCTTAGGGTTTTCACTTCTTGGTCTTTCCTCCGTTCTCCCTAGCAAACCGATATCATCGTAAAGGACTAGAACTTTGTATTCCATGATTACAAATAGTAAGTAGGATCCTTATATTTAGGATAAGCCCGTACATTTTCATTTCTCCTTTATATTTTTATTCAAAAAAATTGTTAGAAAGACTAAACGTGAAGCAAGATTGATCTAGTGATTTTTATTAGTATGTTATTGACACTTGTTTTAATCTAGATCTTGTTTTAAGTATGAATGAGGAAATGAAAATACCTTCAATTTTCCCTTGTGTGTTGTCGCTAATGGTGCCTTTGTGGATCAGTGATAGTTCTTATTTTGATAAAATAAATCATGAGTTGAAACAATGATGTTCCTCCTTAATTATTGCTTGTCTGTCTTGGCCAATAAGAGAGAGGGAGAACAAGAAGAAAAGTTTTGAAATAATAAGCTTTGATTGATTAAAATAAAAAAAGTAGATTAAAAGTTGACAAAAAGAATTAAATACAAATATAGTGTCAAACTATGGCATGTTTGATTGCATAACCTTGTAACTTCGTTTTGAGGAAATAAAAAAAGAATTACCATCTCACAGAATGTGCATTAAAGGCTGAAATTTTGTTGCAGAGAGAATATGAGTCCTCACTAATGTAGTAGACTTGGATGACTAGTCTTGGACATACTTGATGGCTATTCCTCATGCAATTCAGTTTTCGATTCTAGCATCGTTTGAATATTTCGAATACAGTAACTCGTGAGTTTTAACTATTAGGCAAGTATTCTCAACAAAAAATAGTGAAATAGAGTATTTAAAATATTTATTATTATTTTGTAGAAACTATTTGAATAAGTGCTAAATATAACGAATTTACGATTATTGAGATTAATCAAAGAAACAATGAGATAACAAATTATAATAAAAAGAAGTAAAAAAATATAATGAATAAAAAATAAAAAAAAAATGAAACAAACAAACACAAAAGGAACAAGAAGCATAGAATTTTGATTTCATTTATAATTTTTATATTTTTTCTCTTTTTATGAATTAATTTCCGACAGTATAGTTAATCACTAGTCATGAAAATTACATTAATATTAAATGTTCTATTTTTTAATGTAATTTTTTTATTTTTAATTCTTAACGGCACTAGTTAATAAAACCATTGAGCTATTACTAGAAAACATTTCAATGAAAAAAGTAAATTCCAATACACCTTTTTCTTATGTACATATGGCTTTTTGAAGTTTAATATATGCATGTGTTGGTTCAATAATTAAAAGTATATATAGTCTACAAATTATTTGTAAGATTCCAGCGGCTAATGAATACGGACTACTACTACATGGATTGGTCGCAAGCAAATGAATAGACAGACAGTGCCTAAATAGTTAAGGATTTCTCTTGTCTGTTTAGGTGAAAATTCGACGAATCCTATGTTTAGAATCATCTTTACTTGCTAAGAGCATCGCACCAGCTCTGCTTATAATTATTATAAGATCACTTATATACTCACTTTATGCAGAGAATCACCTTAATAACATAAAAGGGAGTACCAAATTATTGGCGTATTCGGTCACCAATTGAGAAAAAAGGATGCTTTCATTTAACAAAATCATATGCTTTTTTGAAAAAAATGAAGCATTGGTCTAGACTTAGGTATAACCTGTTATCCTATCATGTTAAGCACACGAAACTAATCATATATACAATATATGCATGAAATTCACAATCCTTTAAATTTATTTGAACCAAATTAGTTCAATCCGTGACATTTATTCGGTCTGAATTTGAATTCATATTTAACCAGCCACAAATACACATTTATTTTAATAATATTAGTTATAGTTTTTACTTTAACATAACTTTGAATATATGTTCAAATAATGCTGTTTCAAATATGCTATCATAGTTCCAAACTTTTTAAATTCATTCGTCACCAATCCAATCCAATTTTACAAAGAGATTCCAAATCGGCCTATCAACAATTAGGAATTATTAAATAACTTTCACATCCATCATTGTCAAACAAGTAATGAAATAAGCATTAGCTTAACGCAAAGTAATAATCCAATTTCCTATCCATAATATACAAGGCAAGTAGTTGATGATTATCCCCTTAACGCTATCCTTCAAACCTCGATCCCTTTTAGCTGCAGGCTTCTAATATATACATTTGTTATAAGAGAAAACCAATATTTTGGTTTTATATAGTAGTAGTTCAGAACAAACATAGCATGTTCTGCACAATTTCGAACTTAGCACTAGCAGTACGTGGATTCACCATAAATGTAGTCAAGGATGGCGATGACTCCAAAAACGAAAACTTGATCCATCCCGGGTTTCACCACCACATGATACAGATCCTTGCTTCCCATCAATTTCTCCACTTCCTTATTCACCCCAACCTGTGTATAAATGGATCATTCACACATTAATTAACATGTTATTAATATCTTGCTATATATGGGTAAGTTTTGTATTTATAACTCTTGATAAATGTTAAATAAGTGGAACCGTATATAAATTAAGTTTGTCTAAATTATTTCATCAAGTAAATATTTACATCCTAAATGAACTGATGAAGTTAAAACATTGTATTGAAAATTGTATCATTTTTTCATTTAACTTCTTATAGACAAAATCTCATTAGTCTACTTAAAATGCAAATTAACAGGGGCTACATAATTGGGTACCTGGGCTACAACGTTGCCTCTAACATCAACAATGCTACAATTCCTATCAGGGAAATAGCCCGTGATCTCAAAGTCCCAGCCTTTGCTACTTGAAGCCCTGGGCTCAACGGAGATTCTGATCCCATTGTTTGGAACAAAACAAGAATTGGGTTCTTTCAAGCTGAAAACCAGGCTCTGCTCTCCTTCATAGTCTAGACTATAGACTTTCCACTTCTTGTAAATGCTAAGGACCTCAACCATGCCTCCCTGCACATCACACAGAGTTAAAATTAAGTCCCAAATTTTGCCTGTCTTATCCCAGGTTCTGTTCACAAAATAGCAATTCAATATATATATAAATTGGTTTGTGTGTAGAAGTAAAATTCCCTTGATATAGCAATTAAAACAGTTAAATTAACATATATAAATGTGCACAATACATTTAGTCTAAAAATACTTCATAGTGATAAGGTACAATTTTTTCACAAATAATATTGCGTGTTTTGATGTATGCATGTATTCATGTATTTATATGTACCTTTCGCCGCATGAGAAGAATAGCATCTCCTTCCCCATCTCTTAGAACCAATTGTCCCTTTGTGCCATGAATACCACAACCATCAACCTTGAAAACAACCTTCTGGCTACTAAAATCCGTGACTACAAAACCCCCACCATTCACCACATGTGGCCTCCTCCTGACCCCAAGCATCGTCTGAGAGGATGAACAGTATAGTTTGCTAATTATAGGCATCATAGTCATTGTTTTTCTATGTATCTTTGTATCTGCTTACAATAATTGCAAACTTCTTGGCCCTCCCCCAATATCTACCGATTGGTTTTATACTCATAGAATTGCGGTGTTTCATAATTGGAAGAAAATATATTATAATAAATAAGCAAAGAAAATGCTTTTTCTCACTTGTGTGACTTGACTTCTTTGGTTTGTGTAGGTTTGGCAAGGTTTGACGTAGGAGATAAAAGAATCTTATTGGTTGATGTAGCTTCGTGGATGAGATGGAAATTGGGTTTGTGTATGTTCACATGTGCATTGTTTAGAACCCTTCTCTATCTCTCTATCTGATAATTAGCCCAATTGATAGCATGCGTAGGCGTGTGAGACTGGTTTTTTAGTCACGTAAGATCGGCATGCTATACTGGTTTTTAGCTGTGTTGGAATGCCACAACCTTAAGATTTCAATCAGAGAAGTGTGAGGGCAAATAGATTGTCAAAAAATAGAGAAGTAGTTAGATAGTGGTTTTCAAAAAGTGTTTGCAAACTTTAGAAATTCGGTGGAGCTAATCAAACCTATAATTCAAAGAGGAATAATTGACATGTACGAATCTTGTGCTTTTGATGGAGAAAACATCAGCACGTTGGGTACTTAGATGACTTGATGATATGCACCCACATCAACTTTATTTCTGTATTAAATAAAGGGCTATATTCATCGAAACATCTTAAACAAAAAAAGCTTTTAATGCATTTAATTTAGGTACAATAAGCCAACAAAATATCAATACAAATTTAGCATAATTAATACGTATAACGGTTGCTTTAATAAAATTTCAATAATAAATTTAATGAGTTTGCAAAGTCATACAAACCATTTGCATGTCACATTTGAGGAGTCCTATAGATAGTTGTCTAAAATGCATGGTAATGACACGTGGTGGCAAGAACATGCGACTCATGGAGACGCGGCCAACAGTCGGTCGTTTTTCCAAGATACCTCAAGAACATTTGGACTACACACGAAATTAGAGAGCACGTGGCTATAAATTTTCATCTTAATTAATAATGTTGGCCATGTTAAAGAAAGACGTATAAAAAATAATTACGGTGTAATTTATTATTATTTGTATAAATATACCATATTTACGTCAATGAACAATATCAGGTAATCTAAACTCTAAAACTATCATTCCCTTTAATTAGTAATTAAAGAGATAGGAGATTTGATCACAAATTTATTGTACTAGAAACTTACTTAGGAGTTAAGATTGTGTAGATAATATTTGAATTATTTATTAATATATGATTTTTTATCACGCTATGCTTATTGTTAATTGAAAGTGAAGATGAATGGAATGGAGTTCTGTTTGAAATGCATGCTCAAGCCTGATCCAAGCACAAGGCAATTAATTAAAGCCTATGCACAGGTTTTCCATGTTTAATTATGAATAAAAAAAGGCTTCTAAAAATTTTACTAATTATTTATGTTTATTATTTAAAAATAAATATCATTAATTAACATATAGATATAATATTAAGAGTAAATATTTTTCATCAAAAAAACCAAATAAGCTCATCATCTTATTGTGATACATTTTTTGTTTAATTAGTAACCACTTTATCTATCTTATTAATTGACTTTTTTACTAATTTTAATTAAAATATACATCCTTTATTATTTAATATTGTACATATTGAACTAAAGCAAAGCCACCAACGTATTGCAATTATTTACAATGTTATGCATGTGTTTGATATAATAATATTTTGATTGTTAATAGTGGAGAGTAAGTTTTAATTAAGTGTAATACTGTTTGAGATGCATAATGTTCGTTATGTGCTAAAGATTATATACAATACTATGCATTCTACCCTTCCAGGGCTTGCAATTTTGCTAATATGTTGTGTGATTGTAGACTCTTGTTTTTGGGTACTTCTGGGTGCCAATTCACTTGGCACACGACTATTCAGAATGGGACTTATGTGCATATATAAGAAGTTGGATAGAGGGTTGCGAACGTTGATTGACATTTGACAGATTGCTTTTCTTGAAGCTTTATCAGAGGTTCTTACACTTCGTGGCTTTTGTCATAATCCTTTCTTTCTTAATTGTGCTAAACTTCAGTGTGAGAAGAGCACCTTTTTTTTTTCACTTCTAAACTTCAGGTTGGATAACCCATCCTAATTATGCATTGGTTGATCAAAACGGGTGCATCTTTGGGGTAAGTTTTTGTACTTTGGAATGTTTGCTCGTCTCAACTTAGTCATCTAACTTTAGCTGATATTCTAAGAGGTGTTAAGATTAAATCCCAGTTTCTTGTTTTTAACTTTTTTTCTAATTGATCAAAAGAAATTTGGTCACATTTGGTTGAAGGTATTTCCAGCGTGCTCTTAAATCCCCCATCTCATTCATAGGCCAAACATCACTACTCCAAACGAAGCCCAATTCAAAAAAGAAAGTCCCAAAGTGAAATACAAACGGAGCCGAACAGGGACCTTCCTCAGTCATTATAATGTCTCCATAAACTAACCTCAAATCACGATTAAAGCTTCTGTCAAAATCCCTATACACTGCTAAATAGGTTCGTACACACGTGTAGTTGCAGCCTTTCACTGCCCTGTCTTTGCTACTTATAATTCAGTTTTGTTAACAGGAGTTCTTATGGCTAAGTTAAAACATTCAAAAGTAATTTTTTTTAAAAAAAATTATGAATTAAAAATATATAAGTGTATTAATATTTTTTAATAAAATTTTACTTGTTAGTTTCTTGAATTTAAATTTAGTCCTACAAATTGTATTTAATAAAATTATTTATGATTAATAAATTATACTAACCTCAATCTTAAGAGTTAAATTTAAACACATGAAAGTAATTTTTTTTATTAAAATTTATTTATCAAATTAAAACTCAAAAACATATAATAAATATTTTTTAATAAAATTATACTATTATTAGTTGCTTAAATATAGTCGTAGGAGTTGAAGTTAATATTGAATATAAAATTTATATAATTATTTAATTCTTTAACATGTGTTAAGAGTATATAATAAGAAATTAATAAATAATAAAATTTATTTTAAATGTCATTGTATGATTTGCAATGCATTAAATCATTTTATTTTTATAAAGAAGTAATATATCTAAATTTTTATTCTATGTTCTTAAACAAGCATTAAAAAATTATTTTTATTTTATCTCATATAAATAACATATATATATATATATAATAATTTTTAGAATTATATTAATAATTTTACACTTAAATTTATAATATAGTTTTTAGGTGATAAAATTATGTAAAGTAATTTTTTAGAGATAATTTAATCACAGTATTATAAGTGTTTTTAACGTTATTATATCCTATCCTAAATATTACACTTTTTAAACTACTGTACGGTAATTAAGAAATAAAGTTAACTTCATTACTAATATTAAATTTATCAATAATTTGAATATTTATTCAAAACTATCCCTTTAAATTATTTAAACCTATTTCTTATTTTATTTTTATATAATTAATTATTATTTTAGTAAGAATTTTTGTTAAAAACTAATTTATACCAAAAAAAGTTGAAAAAAAATTATGAAACAATTTTTTAAACATGCACAAAAGGATACATTATTTATTAAAAATTATAAAATTGAATAGTATCAATATATTAAATTACATTGAAGTTTGTAATTTTTACTAAAAATTTATAATATCTAAATTATTATTATGTGCTCTTCTATAAAATTTAAAAAATATTTATAAAAAACAATATGACTCTAAAATTAATATTTTTTTTATTTAAGATTAAATTTTCATCTCTATAATTGCCAGATTTTGGATGAACAAAAAGGCCTTTCTTATTCATTGATTTTGTCCTTCTCCAAAATAACTATACACATAAGATTCTCCCTTATCATTGCCAGTTGCCACTCTCTCATTTTCATTATTCTCACTCTAACCCCTGCCTGCAATAATGACTCTCTTTTTATCCTCATTTATGACTATTTTTCACTTTGAAAATAAAATCAACCCTTTATCACTCTTCAAAACCAATCCTTGTGACGTTGAACTGTTGTTTCTTCTTAATGACTCCCTTACTTTGCTTGTTACTTCTGCATCAACTATGACTATTGCCATCACTTCCTCTTAATTACTACTCTCTATTTCTTCTTCTGGGTCCTGTCTTTTGTTCATTAATTTGCCAAGTTCAATTGAGAGAACAGTGATGATGGCCACTCCCACAAAGAGCACTTCTTCTATGGTTCTGTCTATGCCTCTACCCTCTACTATGGCACCACCCGGGTACCCAGATTTGTATGGGAAGAGACGTGAAATGGCCAGGGTTCAGATGCTGGAAAGAGAGATAAGTTTTCTTGAGGTTGGTTTCACCTTATTAATCTTTAAATTCAGTGCTTAAATGAAAATGAAACAAGAAAAAAAAAATCTACTATGAGGAGTGTTGAATTTTAGTAATGACTATCTAGATGGAGTATCACATGTTAGACTGTCAATGTTTAAGAAATCCTTCTTCAGTTTTAATCAGTCCTTGAGACATTGCATTTCATGATCAAGGCCAAAACTTTTTTCAGTGTGTAACAAAGTCAAGAGTGCACTGTTTATTGTTGATAATGGATATGGGATTCAAGAGTTGATAGGGTTTCATCATGTAATTGCATGAATCCAGGGTATTCTTCAGCATTATTTTGTTTTTTGAAAAACATTGTATTCTTCTATTTTGTCACTAAGAACTAATTGATTAGCACTTCGAGTGCTGTTCTGCCTTTTCAGATTAAGTTTAGATTCACATAAAGGATGACAACATTCAAATCCATGTAATAGTTTTTTCGGTGCTCCTTTTAATCTGGGTTGTGGGACCCATTTTTTTTCCTTTTTTTCGATTTTATCTTAAAAGTATCTAAACAACGGAATTTTTTGTCCTCGTTCTATTTCATTTCTCTCGTGGTTAGATATGCAAACATAATATATTAACATTTATTAATATTCAATAATTTACAGAATTATAGTTGTCATTGTAAGGAGGTGGCCAACTACCAGCATTTATTAACACTGAAGAGTAAAAATTAAAAAACGTAAAACCGCAGCAGAACTTTTGAACTGTGCTCCTTGGATCCTGATTGAGGGACTCACTATTCATATTAGAAAATTATATAATACACTACCAAGTAGGCCACAGCTGCCTGTTTGCTTTTAGTTGCTGAGGTTGTATATATATATCTTAAGTAGTTATGGAATCATCAATGATATATTTATATACTTCTATAATATTCTCACTTCTTTTCTAAATTTTTTGTATTTTTATCTTTCTCTATCATATTATATTTTATCACATTTTCTTCTTATTTTCCACGGGTGCATGACCTAATGCTTATTTTCCTTATGGAATTACATAAAAAAAAAAAAAAAAAGATTACATGGCAGCATGATACTATTGTGGACCTAATTATATACCCTTTCTGTATATCTGGTGTTATACAAAATTCACTGATAATTCTGCATCTACCAGGAAGAGTTAAAATCTTCTGATGGCCTTCAACGAGCTTCAAGATGCTGCAAGGAGTATGTCTATTTATTTAGATTATGAAACTAGAGAAATTCCTTAAAATATTTTAATTGTTGCTAGCTAAATACACTTTCTTAATTAAATGTAACAATATTACAGGATTGCCGATTATGTGATGGCAAACCCAGATCCTCTATTACCAACGTAAGAAATGTTATTTTTTAATTTCTTATGTTCTTTTAAGAGATAATGTTCTTATGCCTTGCTCGTTCAAGCAGGAGCAAGAAGAACCGCAGGTCCTGTGGCTTCTGGAAGTGGCTGTGGTACCTTTTTTCTCTTTTCTTTATAAATTTGTTGAGCGATTATTTAATTGGCGCTGCTTACAATGTTTCGTGGTTTAACACAGTTGTTCTAAACTGGTTATATTAATTAAATGAGACCTTTGACACAAGTGACTAGGGATTGACTAAAAAGTGTGTAGATTTTAGCTTTTAAGAGTGACACGCTGACCCTTGCCTAACTTTAAAAACTAAGGCAAGTTTTTTAGTCCGTTTGATCCTTTGTCTCATACAAGGCATGTTGCTGAATCTAACATAGAAGTAGGTTGCGTATTTACTTGAGATACTATCCCATGTGGTTGAGATACACCAATCTATTTTATAAAAAAAAAAAAATAGTTACTACTATTTTTTAAAAATCTAAAATATAAAAACTCATTTTCAGATACATTAATTGTTAAACTCTTTCTAAACCCTTATATAATGTGACATTTGTTTTAACAATATATTTACTCATTAGTTGTATAAATGGATATATTTATACATTTAATATATGAGTTATTAATTTGACCATTTATTACTGTAAGTATTTTTTAAAATACAATATAAATTAATGACATATAACTATCTCTTATTGACATTGGTGAATTAGTTATTTGTTTATTATAAGAAGGATTAGTAATTCATTAACTGGTTTAATTTAATTTCTTAAAGCAGCAATTTCTAAAAGCAAGAGTCTTGTCTAATTGTAACGTTTTTTTAGTAACATGACTGACTATTTTGTGCAGTGGGATTCCCTGCTTTAACTTGTCATGGATCTGCTGTTGGTGCTGTGATGGATGCTTTTCACATATAAATTTGTCAAGTTGTTGTTCCCACTGCAAATCATGCAATTGGTGTTGTAGTTGCCTTCCATCCATCAATTGCTCCTTGCCAAAGGGGCATTCCTGCTATGGTGGAAGATCACATTGCTGTAGAGAGAGCTGTTGTTGCACAAAATGTTGTATTCTCCCAAGTTGCAATTTTCGGTGGCCATTTCCCTCTTGTTGCATCTGCAAATGCTCTTGTTCATGCTCTTGCCCAAACTTTCCTAAGGTTAGCCCTTGTTGTTGTACAAATTCCTGTTGGAACCCTTGTTGTTCATGTTGTTAGCCATAATCTTACTTACAAGGGGGAAAAAAGAAAAATGAAAAGTCTAAAGCTATATTCTCTAGAAAAAAAGTATTGAAAATATAAAGGTTTGTCAATTTTCTGTTAATTTGTTCATCGCGTGGATAGTAGAAACAACTGAAATATCTCCCACTAGCAATTATGGGTCAGTTCAGTTTTGCTCCTTTCATTTCTTAGCTTTTCATAATTTCTGGACGTGAAATATTATTTCAACAACAAAAAAGTTAAACTATTTTACAATTTAGCTGTTAGATAGTGAAATTAGAACTATTGTTAACATAATTCTAATTGATTGGGGTAATTATTTTCTTTTATTTCTATTGATAATAAAATGTTATGATTAACTCTTTGAAAATTCTGAAAATAAATTGAGCTTAATTTTATTTTAAAGCTTTTATTAAACTGATTTTAAATATTCAAAAAAATTATTAAACGTATTAATTACATTTTTATATTTTTTTTATATATAAATGCAAGTTTCTCTATAAAAAAATAAAATAAAATATGAAGAAACAACGTTGCTTATCTTAAAAGAAAAGAAAGGAAAAATAATCAATGAAATAATTACGCACAAACCGCAAACAAAGCATAGTGCGAAATCAATTATCGGCTCACTCACGGATTTGAAGTCATAAATATTTTTGTTTTAGGCCGATTAGTTTGCAGTTCCAAGACGAGGGAATCGATTTAGCAAATCACGGCTACTTTTTTTTTATATGTTTTTGTTTTTAATTCAAAAAATATGAAATTTTTTGTAAAATTACAAAATTATGACAATTTTTAATGCAGTATAAAAATTTAAAAATAAAAAAATAATAAAGTTTCAAAAGTTGTTAAAAGTAATTTTTAAAAATAATATTAAAAAATTTAAAAAAATCAAAAATCGTGAATGATATTTTTCTAAAAAGTAATTAAATATTTAAAATTTAAATAAAAAATTGTGACATTTTAAAAAAAATTATATTTTTTAATTTAAAAAAATCATATATAAAAAAATGTTTCCACAAATCACATTAATGGCTAATTTCATTTTATTTTATAAACTCTGTTACAGAGAACAGAGGTTCAAGGGAGAACCAAACATAGAATAAACCCTGGTTTTTGAAATGAGTTTTGAAGTCAGGAATATTTCCGTATTGATTCGCCCCCTCCCACTGGTTTTAATCCCTGTAAGAAAGTTGGTGATCGATGAAAATCGAAATATGTGATCAGTGAATCAGTGATCGCTATATGGGCTACCTTTTCTTCATAACTGACAGTACACATGAAATGTCTTTTTCCTTCGACACAGAGGTTTCCTCAGATCGTTTGGTCATAGCCATGAAAAGACTTCGGTTTGAAATTTCAAAGGAAGTGTTAAATCAGAAAGGACACAATTTGTACTATGGCCGAAGAACTAGATAGCATCTTCACCTGTCTAATTAATTGCACTCATGTGCACCAAAGAGAGAGAGAAGAGAATTAGACCATATAGAAAGAGCACAGAAATATCACTGGAGGCTTTCCATTTTTGTAAACGTGACCATCTAAATATAGAAAAATTATAGAGACTAGGTTGTTCCATTTTTCTTAAGTTTGTCTTTATAAAATTGGAAGTTCATGATTATCACAAAATTTTAATTTTAAATATTCAGAAAAGAAAAAAAGGTTACTCAACTAAAAATTTAGATAATGCAATTAAGTTGCGAGGGCAAGTTTGTTTCTGGAATCAAATGAATTCATTTCATTCTTAAGGATACTTGGGAATAGCGAGCTCGTTTATACATACTATTATCGTCCCCGTTTAGTAACATTAGTTTCACTGGGTACACACAACTAAACAGAAAAAGAGCATCTCCTCCTTGCTCCGTTTCTTCAATCTCCAACCTGTTTTCGAAAATTCCCACAAGAAAAAGAAAAAAAATACACAACCTTCTAAATGTTACGTTGTTGTTGGTTGACAACATGTGCCTCCTCAAGCAGCTCCTTCAATTTCTTTTTCCTCACCCCAGACAAAGTCTTTTTTTGTTTAGTTGCATAGTGCTGCTGCGCTGTTACAAACTCACAACTGTGTCCAAGAAAAAGCAACTGGGCTCCTAACTTGGTGTTGCACATTGCTCCACATAATACTGCCAAATCCATACCTAAAGGAATCCCCCCCACCCTTCTTCGACACAAACGTCACCGTGTACCGTCGCTTTTCCCCCACTTTCCCAAACACAAGTCTTGAGGGCTTCACCGTTATCCCCACCGTGGAAGGGCCCTCCACTGCCACATCATAAACAGACCCGGCCTCCCCGACGTTGGTCAAGGTGCGCGTGTACCGCACCACCCTCTTGCCTCCAAACAAAACAGAGAAGGATGGGTAATTCAATTGGCCAGGATCAGAGAACTTGGTGGTACAGTTAACTCCGGGACGCTTAACAATGAGTTGTATGTGGTCGGGGTTGTAGTCCAAGGAGCACAAGAACTTAACGTAGTCGGCGGTTGAGGCATCATAGACAAGGCCAGGAGAGAGGGCCTTCTGAGGGTTAACATGGCCGGCACCGTGAGCCCAAGGAGTGGAAAATGCAGCCCCTTCGGCATCACGAAGTGGGGACTTGGTGTTGTCGTGGGTATAAGCCGTAGTCATGAGTGCAGATTTAATAGCACTGGGACTCCAATCTGGATGAGCGGCTTTCAACAACGCAGCCAAACCACTAATGTGTGGACAAGACATGGACGTACCTGCAATCCCAAATCACACCAAACATAAAACCAAAACCAAAATGAAAACAGGAGAGGCATTAAAATAGATACACAGAGAGAGACAAGATATACCTGACATAATGTTGAACTGTGTCTTGCGAGTGTCAGCAGACAACCCAGAGGGCCCAATAGCTTCTGACCAACCAGCTAAGATGTTAACCCCAGGCCCAATAACGTCCGGTTTCAGAATCTGTCTAGTCACCATATTGGGCCCTCTCGAACTAAACGCTGCCACGACAGGGGAAGGTCTAACGTTCAAAACCGTTCCACGGAATCCAAGAACTGCCGTTGGATTGGGATCCGAGGCAGCATACTCTCTGATCTGATCCCCCACCCTTCTCCCCACCGCCACAGCCGGTAGCAGGTGACTATCCGCCACCAACTCTTCACCACTCGCTGCAGTGTTCGCCAGAATCATCCCAACCCCACCGGCATCACGCACCACCTTACCCTTCTCCACGCGCGCATTCAGCCCTCTGTCGCAAACCACCACTTTACCTCGAACCAAGGCGGGGTCCAGCGAACCGGGCATGCAAATACTCCCCGACTGGTTCGACCCTTTGTTATAAACCAAACCCACGGGCTCACTCCCCATTCCCTTTCCACTGTAAAGCGAAACCCCAGCGAAGCGCTTCTTGTTGCCGAGCACAGCGTAAGCAGGGAAATCTCTGTCTAACGTCCCTGCCCCAACAGTCATTATCCACGGTGCCACGTTGGCAAGAGAGGCTTTGCTGGGCCCGCTGTTCCCGGCGGAGCAGGAAATGAAGATCCCTCTCTCCACCGCCGCGAATGCGCCAACGGCGATGGTGTCGCGGAAGTAAGGAGCGGAACCACCGCCGAGGGAAAGCGAGAGCACGTCCACGCCGTCCTCAATTGCGCGGTCGATTCCGGCGAGAATGTCCGAGGCGAAGCAACCGTCCGTCCAACAAACCTTATACGCCGCCACGCGCGCCTGCGGCGCCATGCCACGTGCAGTGCCGCTCGCGTAGCCGAGGAGGCTGGCGTTCGCCACGTGCGAGCCAGCGGCGGTGCTTGCCGTGTGGGTCCCGTGGCCGTCCCTATCGCGAGGGGACACCGGCTCTTTATTGGCGTAACCAGCGCCAGTTCCAGCCGCCATGTGGAACCCTCGCGAGAAGCTTCGCGCGCCGATGAGCTTTTTGTTGCAAAGGGAAGGCGAGAAATCGGCGCTTGGCTCGCACTCGCCGCGCCACCGTGGCGGAATGTCTGGCATTCCGGCGTCGTTGAAGCTCTGAGATTCGGGCCATATTCCAGTGTCGAGCACCCCTATGATAACGTCGTGCGACGCTTGGTTGAGGTCCTGGGTACTGTGGCCTTCCCACAGGCCCGTTTGGGCTTCAAGGCCAAGGAACTGCGGTGTACGAGTGGTGTGAAGTTGGTAAACGGTGTCCTGGTAGACGCCGAGAACCGCTTCGGATCTGAGAAGTTGCTGCGCCTGTTGGTCATCGAGCGACGCAGCAAAGCCGTTGTAAGCGTTGGTGTAGGAATAGAGGAGTGGATCGGAATCCGTTGAAATGGATTGGAGATTTGCGGTGTACCAGTCAAGGTGTGTGGGGTATATTTCAGGCTTGTTGTTGTGCTTCATGTGAACTATGTATGTTTTCTTGGCCACATTGGGTGATGCGAATAGGTAACGGCATTGTAACAGAACGATGAGAACGAAACAGGGGATTGAAACGGAACCCATTTCATGAGGAAGAGAAAACTGGTCAGGGTGGTGGCGGGGGTGGTAGTGTCAGAACAAATTGGGGTCTCACGTCGACTTTATAATGAAGAGTGCAGTTTCTTATTTGCACTCTCTGTTTCCTTCATTTACCTTTTTGCCATCATTTTCTTCCATGTGGTCGTCGGTGCCGTTACCTGTCCTTCTCCACTTTTTGACTTCACATTGGACTCTCAAATCCCCCTCTTCTTATTCCAACTGTCGCTTTTCTTATCTTCCCCTTCACTTTTTATCATTTCAATCATCTATTCAAGATTCCTGTTTTGCACAACTCCATCCCAGATATTATATTTTCTTCGTTAATATTTTGTATGTATCATTTATTTAACTCTGTTGGGTTTGGCTATATATTTTTATTTCCATTTTGAAAGTCTTAAAAGTTAAAATTAATAAAATGAGCCTTTTTTGGTGACGCTAATTGAGATATTTGGCTTCATGAAACAAGTGAAGACAAGCACTAGATAGCTGGTACGCGTAAATGGTAAAAGGGTCCACAACTCTATACCCTTTGTGTATGGATGGAAGAGGATGTTATAGTGATAAGTTTGTTTTGTATATATTATTTCAGCTAACCGAACCAAATCTTCGCCTTGATTTAAGCATGGGCACAGCGCAGTGCTAGAGACTGATAGCATTTTTGTCTTAGCCATCTTTGTGCGTGTTTCTTGTGTTTATGGAAAGTAAGCACCACCAGATGGTGAAAGCATTAAAATATAAGCATAATAGATGAAAGCAATTATTTTATGCTGGGACTGGATGAACAAAATCATTTCATATACAGATGTTGAAAGTTGGCTGCATTCTGTTGCAAGTGCGCTTTCTTCCTCTTTAGATTAAAGGCTCAAGAAGCATGATAAAAGATTTCATCTCATGTTAATGATATGGGGTTTAATGGAGTTTTTAAGTTCTATTTCAATCTCATGTCCTAAAAACAATTGCATCCTTGTTTGGTTTTCCTTGGTGGACAAAGACCAATTTTGCGCCCAGAATATCATCATCAGTTCCACCCAAGAGGTATTCTAGAATCCATATCTTGATCAAATCATTGTCAACAATATGGAAAGTATTAAATTGGACTTTGAATTAAAGGGTATGATTGAATTCCTCTTTATTCATTGCTACTTTCGTATTTATTTATTCATTTAAAGAAAAATTGTATATAAGTTCAATAAATTTCATTAAATTTAATTATTTTATTATAATTATCAGGTAAGTTTCTTAATTATTTCTCTTAATTTGACTTTTAATTACTCATATAGTATAAATGTTACATTTATCATAAATTTTTTGTACAGGGGTTCAATTTGATATTTATGTAGAATTAAAAGTTTGTTATTACCCGAAAATTATTACCAACTTATATTATATAGAATTTCCTTTTATTTTTCTAAAATCACCAATATTCATATATCATATTAAAGTATTTACTTAATTTAAGTGGAATAGGATCACTAATAAGTGGTAAAGTTTGTCTTCAAATACACTCTCAAGAATTTGAACTTCAGCCATTTAATTAAGTTAAACTGACCCTTTACTGACTAATGGTACGCAACCCATGATAAGGGAAATATAGGAAAGAAGTTGAATTGCATTTCTTGAGTTTTTTTGTAAAAGTAAAATATTTATATATAAAAAAGACATCGAGATAGGTTATATCAAAATGATAGGTACACTGTTTAAAATTCAAAAACAATCATCTCAGTTGTCAAACCATACCTTTAAATACATATTTTATTAAAAGCAAGCACAATATGCAACATTCAAAACTTTCTTTCCTTTTACTATTTTTGAGTATTTGTTCATTACTCAAGATGTATATAAGTGGTCCTTTTCTTCATATGTGACTTCTTTTAGTTTTGAATGAGGTAGCAACTGAAAGGAGACTTTAGACTTTATCAAGGGTTGCAATCTCTGCTTAGGTGAAAAATAGGGCTATTAAGCATTATATATCTATCATGTATCAATATGTTAGGCATATTTTTTTAGATAATTATAAGGTAAGGATTAAGATACTTCTTGCTTCACTTAATAAACATTTTGTGCGGATAAAAAAAAATCTTAAGACATTATACGTTTTAATAACTATCTAATTTTACATAGATATAGTAACTTTGATAGTTCACCAAATTCATCCAAAATTTTATGTTATGGAATCATTTAAAAAATTAGGACCTTTATAGCTTTTAAACATAATTGAACTTAACAAAGTCTTTACATATAAGTAAATAAATTTAAAATTTTCCAAATGAAAATTTTTAATTTTTAATTTTTAATTTTTAATTTTCAAAATAACATAATCTTGTCCATTGCATTATTCAATCATTATGAAATAGGGACTTGCAATGGGAGTAATATGTTCAATCTCCATAAATACTCTTAATTTCGGTTGTTCTATCCTTCTTAAAAGACCTTTAGGAGCCAACTAAGAGATTTACAAGGAGGCACTTGCTGGACTTTGGATAATAGTCCATATATATATGACAAAGGGAATTATAATTTTTAATCAAATTACTATAGTATCATCTAAATTCTTGCACGAAGAAGTACTCTAAAATATATATCCCTGTCTTTTGATAACTGTTAAACTGATAATTAGAATTTTGCTTTGAAATAGGACAAATGTTCAATTATTTTTGGGTAGTCCACGACCACCTCAATTATTTACATTTTTACACGTGTTTATTAAAAAAAAAAACATATGTATCATATTGTTTTTAGTTAGAATTAGGGGGAAAAAAATTCTCATCTAAACGAAATATGATTAATTATATTGTTTGTTCGCTACTTTAGAAAGTGGCATAAAAAAATTTAAACACGGTATTAAAATATTTCAGGTTGATACGTACATTTAAGAATAATAATTATAAAATTTAAAACAGACTTCAACTTAGACCCATTCTTGCACACTATTTTCAGTGTTGGTGTTCAATGGATATCTATCTATACCGAACCCATTACTCATATTTTAGTTAATGAATGAAGGATTTTAATTTTTTTACAAATTAGTAAAATAAAAATATTATTAACATATACGATTTATATGCATAACATTTTATAAATAATTATTCAGTGTGATTAATTTTTGTGGATGATAATTAAATCTTTGTCCAATATTTTCAAATCTTAAAGGGATGCCTAATTTCACTTTTCACGCAATTTAAGGAAAGCTATAATTTGGCACGGACCTGACAATGATGTAACCATGCATGCTGGCCATCTATCATTCTCAGGTTCAGTCAAAATGCATCATGCAATCTCAAGCACATCTGTTAGCACATTAACTTGATTTATTTTCTACTTATTTGTGGGTCTTTTTAAATTTACCTTAAGATATTTACTTATGGTATCAAAATATATATTTTTTATTAAAATTATACTGAATATATATTAATAAAATCTTCATATATTTTAATTTCTTAACTAAAATTTTGTATCCCATATTATCTTGTCGTTTTAGTTTCCATATCATACAATCTTTCAATAAATAAGGAAAACTTCGGTATAATTTATATTGACATGTTTTTTCTTTTATGAATTATTTCAATAAATATGTTTTTAATAATTTATATAAAATACATTTTTAATAAATTTAATTATTAATTTATAATTTTATAATAGTTTAGTTATTTATGTTAAATTTTATTAAAATATAAATTATAAAATTATAGTTAAATAATTTTATTTTTATACATTTTAAAAATATATATTGTCACTATTTTTTAAATAAAAAATACTAAATAATTTAAAATTTTATAAATTATTCAATAAGTATTTTAATCTAACTGTTGATTTATAATATTATTTTAAAATATTATTAAATAATATAATTATTAGTATAATTTATATGAATCTAATTTGATCTTTCTTTTATTTAAAAAATTACAATTAATTTAAAATTAAATTCATAAATATTAGCCATAAGCTTCAAAACTTTATTTGTCTCAAATAAAAATATTTTATAAATCCTTTTATTATTAAATATTTTTAAAATATTAAAATCATCAAAATAACAATATAAATTAATTCGTATTAGCACATGTTATTTAGTTAAAATATCTTCAAATAAAAGTAAATTTAAAATCTATAATTATTCAAAAATGTATTTTTACTAAATTTTAAATTTTAAAAAAAATAATGATATTTTTTGTTATTTTATATTTATCAACTAGTTCAATAATTTATTTAACTAAATATTTTTAATTCAATCAGCTAAATTTTTAATTTTTAACTAATTTTTCGTTAGTTTTCTGAAACACTTCTAAAAATATAATTATAAAAGTGAAGATTTTGTTTTGTTTTAGTTAATAAAATTTGAACAAAAAAGTATGTCAGTAAGGAAAGTCTTTAAATTAAAAAAATACATTTAAATTATACCAAAAAAAAAAGAGAATACATTTAAATTAAAATAAATTCAATAATAAGTATCTCAAATTTATGATTTATGAACGATAAGACCATATTTTACATGGCAATCCTTCGAAGTTATAAAAGTGAACTCTAAACTTGCACCCACGCGGGAAGGAGCCCTACCCAAAGTATATGTACCTTTCAGTCTTTTCAAACTTAATTCAGTCAACAGTTACCGCTTAAAAATTTGTCTCATCGGTTGTGTCTTTGACTCTTACTCATATTCTTATATGTTTGAATAATCTATCTATAAAATTTATTTTTATTTTAATTAATTTTTATATAAAAATAAATAAATTTTTAAATGAAAAATGTTTTTGACATAGTATCTTATATTAACTTTTGTTACAAGACTATTATTTTATATTTAAATTTTTTTTAATCTTGTACATGATTCTTTTTTTATTTTAGTTTTGTTTTTATATAAAAAATGTAATTATAGGGATCAAAATAAAAAAAAATTGTATCAAAGTAAAAACAAAATTTACCCTCAAATATAAGTTGAAAATGTCCTAGTAATTTATGATAGATTATAAAAGATTATTTAATAATTTTAAATAATA